TGTTCAGCCTGGGGAAGAGAAGGCTTCGGGGAGACCTTATTGCAGCCTCTCAGTACTTAAAGGAGGCTTATTAAAAAGATGGCGGCAACCTTTTTAGCAGGGCCAGTTGCGACAGGGCAAGGGGGAATGGCTTTAAACTAAAGGGGGGGAGATTGAGACTAGATATAAGGAAGAAATTTTTTACGCTGAGGGTGGTGAAGCATCGGCACAGGTTGCCCAGAGAGGTGGTGGATGCCCCATCCCTGGTCAAGGGACCAGGGATGAATGACCATTCAAGGTCAGGTTGGCCGGGGCTCTGAGCAACCTGGTCTAGTTGAAGATGTCCCTGCCCATGGCAGGGGGGTTGGACTAGATGACCTTTAGAGGTCCCTTCCAACCCAAACTAGTCTATGATTCTATAATTTGAGAAATTTGCGATCATTGGAGGAGGGTTTTCCAAGTACGCTTTTCAGTAGATTTTGAGCAACTTTTTATGCAAATATTGTGATAGCTCTGAGAGCTGCCTGAAAGGAGGTTTGGCCCAACCTAACAGAAATCAGTGGAAAATCCTTTACTGATTTCACTGGCAGCAAAACTGTGTCTTAAAGTTTTCACCAGAGACACTTACAAATTCAAAATGATTGAGGAAACTGGACAACAGCTGCTGTGTCACTTAGTGAACTATGCTCCAGACCAAGTGGGGCTACTAAGTGAGAAGAAGGAAGGTTGCAGCATTTTTTACCTTCCAAACAGATGTGGTGGTAACTGTCATACATGGTTTCAGTTTTAAATAATCCTTGCCATGAAGTCTGCTTTCCTGACTTAAAAACAGATACTGTGCGTGTTACCTTAATTTTACATTTTCTGTAGATCTTTCTGTTATCTGCAATAGCTGAAGAAATTCCCATGCAATAAGTGTAGAAGTTCTAGTGAGAAACAGTTCCACCCTGAATGGAATTTGAACATTTGCCCATTTTCCTTAGCACTTTCGATCCCTTTTCCCACTATCTTTTATAAGTTAGTTGAGAGTACCCGTTTGTTTGAAGGCTTACTATAAGCTAGTGCTTCATACTCTTTCTTACATCATTGACTAGTCCTTCAGCATATCCCTTTTTGGTTCTTCTGTTGTCTTCTCTGTGCTAGTGTTCATTAGGGTGATATTATTTGCCATCTACAGTACTGTAACCCACTGTCTGTTGTGATGGGGTTTCCCCATGTGTAGTTGTGATGATGCTAGAACAACACTCCCACTTGTAGCACTCCCCTCCCAGTCTTCCCATGTCTGTCCACAGTTGCCTCCTGCGCCTCCTAGCTAATATGAACATGAAAAAATGCATCCACAATCTTCACCATAGTGAAGCTCCAAACCATACTCAGTGTGCTACTATTAAATACTTATTTTCTGTGTTGCTCAGAGGTTTCCTGGTGGTTTTGGCGTTGCGGATTTTATTTTAATGGACATATGCAATGGGGCAGTATGTGGGGGGATATTCTTATGCAGTGTCTTGCATTTTGAAAGTGCAATAATGTGCTTTGTGCTTGTAGGACATTGCTTATTACCAAGCCTTATCTGCTGAACAGTTGGCCTTATCTGCTGAACAGTTGCAGACAGAAGCTGCTAAAATTCAACCCAGCACTTCAGCCACCCAGGAGTTTTACGAACCAGGCTTAGAATCAGCTGCTAGTGCCAAACTGGATGATTTGCAGCGTTCTTGGGAAACACTGAAAAATGTAGTAAGTCTTCATCTGGAGGGTTCAAAATAATCAGCTAGTTTGTGAGGAATAAAATGCAAAGAACTGGCTCAGCTAATATTCTTCTCTGCAGTTCTTGGTTTTCAGGTGGTAACAAGATTTGTTAGTTGTGATATTATATTACACTGGCTTTGTTCTTTCTTTGAAAGCCTGTGCAGGATGGACTGCCATTAAGGAAAAATAAAAGACATTAAGGCTGATAGTTGCCTTCAGAAATACTGGCTATTGTCAGACTATATTCCATAACCTAACAGGGAAATCCACTCATGCTGGATGAGTTGGCAAAAAAGGTCCAAGAATCCAGTTTCTCCAAATACTGAGTCAACACATTTCTACATAGTAGTGCAGCATAATCATTCAGTGATGTATGAAAATGGTCAAAGTTCTGATCGCATGCTATAAATTTTAATTCTTTGAAGAGGCACAGTAGCTATTATGGGGTATTAAGAACTATGGGTCTAGCAAATTGTGCACATTCACATGTTTGAGTGCATAAAATCTAAAATAAGGCATGAGAATGTGCCTAGGTTTTCCCTGCTTATTAAAGTCCATTTTTTTCAGTCACAGAACCTAGGATTTGACTGATGATGTTTAAACAGATAAATATTTTTAATATGGATATTTTGCGTTATACTTTTGAAAACTTGTTGCAAGTTTTTGGTTTTAGTCTCGTAAGCCTAGGGATGTATGAAGCAGAAGAAAAAGAAAATCCTGTATCAGAGGTCAGAATTTATACCTTCCATTCCTCTTCAGATCAGTGAAAAGCAGCGCACCCTCTATGAAGCTCTTGAGCGTCAACAGAAATATCAGGACACACTCCAGTCTATATCCACAAAAATGGAGACCATTGAGATCAAACTAAATGAGAGTCTGGAACCAGCCAAAAGCCCGGAGAGCCAGATGGCTGAACATCAGGTAAAAAATTATATGTAAGAAATAGAGGGAAAGTATGCATTACCTGTATATCTTTAGTTCCCTTTTTCAGATAGCAGCGTTCTTCATGGCTGGATGCCTCAAAAACATGCATTAGTTGTATGAACCTTCTCTGTTAACTGTATGTCTTGCCTTTCTGGATTTCCGGCTGTTCTAAAGCTGGTGTAATGGGGATTGTTTTAATAAGGAGCCTTTTAAAAAAAGTAGAATAGATCATAAGAGTTTGTCCAATTGAAATTTTCAGCAAAATCTTTTGTCAAAGATTGTGTTCAGTGACACCTACATATACTGTTCTTCAGCATCAGTGCTACTAGCATGTATCGGACTATTTATAATGTTCCCAAATTTACTAAGATCATAACCAATACTGATGCAGTGTAAATTGATCTAAATACAGTCTTTGCCTTGTTAAACAAAAACAAACAAACTAAAGCACATAAAAAAATTCCCTCCCAGAGGAAGTCCTGAGAAATGATGCTCTGAATAATAAAAGAGTACTTTATCAAGTAACCAATCTGATATATGTCCAAGTTGTAATCATCTAAACCTTCTACCTGACAGCTTGAAACTATCTGGCGGGGCCGGTTCTCATTTCAGTAGGAACTCCATGACCTGAAAAGGATAACATTTGGCTTTTGTAGCACTGCGTGATGTCCTGTGCATCCAATATGTATATATTATCAGACATGAAAGTAAAGTATCTGCTCTAAGGTATTGGTAATGCAGCATCCTTTTGTAGGTATCTTGGAAACTGATTTATAGGATAAGAATGATAGTAGGAATATTTTTATGTCATGGAGTTAATCTGTGGATGTTTACATATATTGCTGGATGTTCTTTGTCCAGTTAGTAAGTTTCAGGCTGAAAGCTAACTCATGCCCCTATTTCTCTCTCACAAACACACGCTCACTTACTTGTTCATTGTCTTCACTGTATGTACTAGAATACCCTCCAGAAAATTTGTTGGAAGAATAAATCTGTATGTTAATATTTCCAAAAGAATTCCTTCTCGTGATATGTTTGAAATTCAAGATAAGTAATTAAATCCATATTTCAGTTATCAGATGCATGATCCTAGCCTAAGTATCTAAAAGCAGGACTCAGTCCTTCTGAATTCTGACTCTACCAAACCAGCACTATTGCACATGTATTGCACTACTCTGTGTTCCTCATGCTCCCTTGGGACAGTCATCTTGAATTTTGTATTAAGCCTATACCTCCTCAGATACTTTCTTCTCACTGATAAATGAAGCAAATACTTTCTCTGCTCTCATTTCTAAATAGGCTTTGATTGATGAGATTTTAATGTTACAAGAAGAAATCACTGAGCTTCAGACATCATTAGCCCAGGAACTGGTTTCAGAACCACTGGATGCAGAAGCTGCTGATCAGCTGGCATTGCAGTCCACTCTCACGGTCTTGGCAGAACGAATGGCCACAATTCGAATGAAGGCATCAGGAAAACGACAACTATTAGAGGTACAAGAAAGAACCTCTAGGATTGGGTCTTTTCGATCACATTCCAGATTTCGAGAGCCAGTTTCGGCAGACATGTACTTTCACCAAAATCCTCAGTCACCACTGAATGCTGATAACTAAAAAAGTCATTTTCAGTTCTGCTCATTTCTCACAATTCCTTTCACTAATAAATTATTGTTGTTTTTTAGCAAGTCCCTCATCTTAATGCTAGGTGATAAGTAACCAGAAGGAACTTGGAAACACACTGCAGGAGTCATATTTTTTAATGGTATTGTTGGTTTTGGGTTTGTTTTTTTTTTTAATATCCACATTGACATTTTCTCAATAGGTTCCCTTGGTATTCCTTGTCCTCCACAGAAGAAGTAATGAAGTGCAGGTGTTAAAAGTGATATTATCTACAGTAAACTTTTGAGGAGTCACCTGTCCAAACTGGGAGACAAGAGAAGGGGGAAAACTTAAAACAAGAAATAACACCTCTTCCAAACCGTTGCTTTGTTGTCTACGCTCATCTTCCCAGTAATTTGCATGCAAACTTTTATCATGGAAGACACACCCCTTTCTTTCTTTATCTACTAGCTTTACCAAAAATCCTTTAATACTAAGGTGTTTTTAAAAAAAGTCCTTTACAGGTAGGAATGTTGCTGTGTATATTATACAGGTGAGAAAATGCAGTCATGCTAAAGCTGGCTACAGTCAGGCTACTTTGAACACTGCAGGGCAGCTTTACTGCTAAGAACTGCAGCAGTGAATTCATAAATAAAGTAACTGCTGCCTTCATAATTTCCAGCATCGATCAATTCTGAGAGACTGAGTGAGAATTGGCTCTGTGGATCTACCTGGGTTACAGGGGAGTCCCAGGGTGCATCAGCTGCATTAGTTCTGTGCAGTCATCTGAGACAGTGAACAGGTCCTTAGAAAATATCGTTGTTATTTTTAAAAAATTGCGCTAAGTTTTACTTCTCATAAGAAAAATGGCTTTTACGTAAAAATAAGGAGCTGGAAGTAGAATAGGAATCTTACTGTTTATAGCTTGCACCCCGTATAGGATCTTACAAACTTCTTGATAGCATTTAGGAGGAGATGCTAACTAATAATTTCAAGATAAAGCATGCGTCAAATATACTACTCTTAACTATGGTTAGGATTCTGACAGTTACTTTGATACAATAGCATAAGTATCCCCCAATAATTCTGACTAAGAAATACGTATGGTATGCAGACAATATTCAGTAATTTAACCTGTGCACTTTATAGGTCTGATTTCACAGATAAAATCTTCCAGAGCACTGCAGGAATGTAAATGTAGAAATACAGATAGAACAGGTAATGAAAACATTTTGCTGTTGAGGGTGTGGATTGGTAATATTGTTCTTTCTGTGGACCTAATTTAAATAACTAGAGCTTGAGAACTGTTCACCTCTGGATTATTTGAAACACTTAACAACTATAATTATTCTTTAAATTATTCTAACATGCAATTATTAATTTTGCCATTAAAATTAAGCATTCAGAAAAGCTGTGCAAACACTCCCCTGTGTGAGGGATTTGCCCTGCACATACAGGTGTGAATTTCCTTACAGAAGTGTGGTATGTCGACCCTGGACAGCAGCCAAACACCCACCCTCACTCCCCTCTCCCACGGGATGGGGAAAAAATAGAAGGCAGGCAAAAAGACTCATGGATCGAGGTAATGACAGCTTAATAGGGTAAGGAAAAGCTGTGCGTGCAAGCAAAGGAAAATAAGGAACTTATTCACTACTTCCCCATCAGCAGGCAGATGTTTAGCCTCTTTCCTGGAAAGCAGGGTCTCAGCATGTGTAGCAGTTGCTTGGAAAGGCAAACGCCATAACCACAAATGCCGCCCACCCCCCTTCCCTGAGCTTTTACTGCTGATCATTATCTCATATGGTACAGAATATCTCTTTGGTCAGTTCAGGTTAGCTGTCCTCGCTATGCCCTCTCCCAACCTTTTGCCCACCCCCAGCCTACTGGCCTTTGTGAGGGGCGGTTGGAAAGAAAGCCTTAATGCTGTACAAGCACTGTTCAGCAATAGCCAAAACATCACTGTGCTATCAACACAGTTTTAGCCGCAGTTGCAAAGCGTAGCACCATACAGGCTGTGATGAAGTTAACTCCATCCCAGCCAGATTCAGTACAATCTTCTCCCCTTGTTCCATACCATTTGCAGCATGCTTAGGTTCCACATTATCTGATGCATCTAAGTATCCTCTGACCATCCCATTCTATCCGTTTCTTATTCCCGAAATCCCCTCTACTCTCTCCAGAGCTTTGTATCTCTCTTGTACTGGGGAGCTCAGAACTGGACACAGTGCTCTAGGTGTGGACTCACCAGTGTTAACTAGAGGGGAAGGATCACCTCCCTCAATCTGCTGGCAACTTTCCTCCTAACGTAGCCCAGGATACCATGAGCCTTCTTTACCACAAGGGCCCATTCCTGGCTCATGTTTAACTTGGTGTCCACCAGGACCCCCAGATCCTTTTCTGCCAAGCTGCTTTCCAGCTGGTCGGCCTCCAGCATATACAGGTGCCTGGGATTGTTCCTCCCCAGGTGCAGGACTTTGTGCTTCCCTTTGTTCAACTTCATGAGGTTCTGTCAGCCCATTTCTTCAGCCTGTCCATCTCGATGGCAGCACAACCCTTTGGTGTATCAGCCACTCCTCCCATTTTGTACCATCAGTAAACTTGCTGAGGCTCATTACTGGCCTCTCACTAGACTTTGTGCCACTGATGACCACCCTCTGGGCCCAGCTGTTCAGTCAGTTTTCAAATTCATATGGCACTATTAAAGGGTGAGCGAGTCTTGCCGATTACTCCCTGTCTGTCCGATGGATGGACCAGCTGACGGATGGAGCCAGAGAGTCCATTTTGTACCATCAGTAAACTTGCTGAGGCTCATTACTGGCCTCTCACTAGACTTTGTGCCACTGATGACCACCCTCTGGGCCCAGCTGTTCAGTCAGTTTTCAAATTCATATGGCACTATTAAAGGGTGAGCGAGTCTTGCCGATTACTCCCTGTCTGTCCGATGGATGGACCAGCTGACGGATGGAGCCAGAGAGTCTGTGTTGCTGAGATGCTGTTGCTGCAGCAGCCACTGGAGCTTAATGTCCTTCTACACCCTACAGCACAGGGCTTCCGAGAGCGTCTTTTTTGTTGAGATGCTTTTCCCCCCCCAGCCACTGGAGCTTAATGTCCTTCTACACCCTACAGCACAGGGATCTTCCGAGAGGCCAGACAAGGTAGACAGCTCTTCGGTCTTCTCTTTACCCACGGTGGCTACACCAAAGGCCCACCAGTACCCTGTTGGGTCCTTGAAGTACCCCTCTCGTGCCTTTCTTGAGAGACAATAAGGCTATCTAACAGCCTGCTGCTGCCTAAAAAGGCAAAGCTGCCCTCCTTCCCCTGCAGCCCACTCCCAGCTCTGTGTCCCCATGCATCTTTCTCCCTAAGCAAACAGTGCTGTGCTAGTTAAGCAAACTGAATCAATGTGGGGGAAACCCAAAGGAGAGCAGCAAGAGGAGGCAGAAAAGAGCTCACCTTTAGAAGGCTGTAATAGCAGAGATCTACTGAAGGAAGTAGAAATACAGTGACTGAACTGAAACAATTTCAGTCACCAGAAAAGCATGCTCATCAGTTGAAAGCAATAACTTTTTGTAAAGGTTTCCAACTTAGGAATGAAAGGGCTTATTATGGCTTAAAAATACTATATAGAAGTTGTGAGGGACAGAGAGGGAAAAATTTTAAAAAGTGACTGTTGTGGTATATTTTTTTTAAAAGTAAAATATAATTTGTACCTCTAGGAAAAACTGAACGAGCAGCTGGAAGAACAGCGGCAAGAGCAGGCTCTTCAAAGGTACCGTTGTGAAGCTGATGAGCTTGACCACTGGCTACTCAATACCCGAGCAACACTGGACACCGCTCTGGTTACTGCCGAGGAACCTATGGACATGGAAGCACAGCTGGTAGACTGTCAGGTAAAATTATCAGTCCTGTAATGTTTAGATGAACAGGATGGATGTAGCTTTATCTGAATGAAGAGGCAAATATGGAACATTAATGATAAGACCATTATTGAGTGGCATGAGCCAGCATATTAGTGGGGAAGAAGTTTCTGATCTCCTTAGCACCTCGTATAGGCTCAGTTGGCTTCATCAGTGATTTGTGAAATAAATTCATGTTCTTCATTTCTTATTAATTTTGGCTTCATCAGTGATTTGTGAAATAAAATATAACCTGTTCTTCATTTCTTATTAAAGATCTCAAACAGTGCTTTAGAAAGCGCATGTAAACATAGCAGTAGGAAAACAAGATATACTGACTGCAAGAACATTTGAAGCTCTACAACTTTCAGAGGACATTTTATTTTGCTTTAAAGGCCTTGTATTCACTTCACTTGCTGTTTTTGCTCCACTCAAGCTAGAGTTGTTGAACAGCTCACTTGATAGGTGTGAAAACACCTGTAGTGTACTTTCCTACTCCTCCTTTTCCAGCTGAAGAACACACTCCCACTAGCAGTGGTGACTGGGACAGTGTTGGGTTTTCTTCAGGAGTAATCCCTACCCCCATTCAAAAGTAAAGTATAATCATCAGTAATTAATTTAATTAATTTATTTTAATTAATTTAATATTAATCAACCCAGAATATCAAAACAAAAGAGGAAAAACATTTTGCTGCAATAGGATTAATTGCATATACTTTTATTAACAAGGCTTGGATCAGTCATAACATCCACGTTCTCAAATTAGTGGGAGTTTTCCAATTTTAAATGAGAGTTTAGAACTGTATGATCATTAAAATTACAAGATAGATGAGACAGATGGACAAAAGATCCCTTTTCATATTAAAGAATGAGGCTCTCAACTATTTTAGGATAAATGGGAGTTAAGTTTCATGTAAGTCCAATGAATTAAACCTCTAGTTAAATTTTCATCGACACCGCTTCATTATTGGAATTTTCAGTCTGCTCAGTCTCAAGTGTTCTTTCATCACCCGTCCTTGGGAGTTGTTTGTTATATATAGATAAACCCTGTGAACTTAAACAAGCAGTAATTTTTTTTTTTAATATAATCTGTAGGAAACTCAAAATTAAAAAGAACAGTTAACTTTGTGAAAAAGTTAATACTGCTGTTCCTTTGCTGGTTCTTAAAATCTTAATACAGTAACTTTTATATAAAGTCCTATATTTTTTCCACTTTTTAGAGACTCTGCCCATCTTATCCTGCACACATTCCTTCAGGAGCAATATTTGTAAGTTTCTACTTGATGGTTGCTATGGAAACAAAAACATTAGATGTCAGGCTAGGTTTCTGAACAAGAATTGTATGAGCTTTGAGTTTGGAAGATCAAAATATGCCCTATGTCTGTAATACGTGAATGGTTAATGGAATGTCAAGGAAATAGCTTTTGAGAATAAACATGCCAGAGATTTGTCACTTTAAGTCTCTCTTTAGACTAAAGAGGATTATACAGAAATCCTTAAGTCCATCATGCACCAATCAGAAAGAGCAAATAGTGAGAAGAGAAGCTTATCAATGCAGCCAGAGCAACGCATAGGAGGAGGTAGGAAGCATTTCACTAAATGTACATGAAAGGAGAGGAAAGAAGTAACTCTAGCTGCGTGCTCTGTTTCTTGTCATTATGGATATCAGTCTAGCCACCCTTACCTTTAATGTGCAAATAAAGAGCATCTCCTCTACAAATCCTTTGTTTCAAATAATAACTTTTTAATTTCCTATTTTGAAAAAGGTTGCAAACAGAAATGGCAAATGCAAACATTTGCAAGCATATTCCTAAGGACTCTGAAAGGGACTGGAAGGCAAAGCAATGATAATCTGACTTGCCCTTAGCTTGGCGACGGGTGAGGTAGGCCACAGGTCGTCTTGCCAGAAAGCGTGACAGATGCTGGAAAATGTATGAATTTGGTTCTTTGTTTTTGCTGCTGCAGAACATGCTGATTGAAATAGAGCAGAAGGTGGTAGCCTTGTCAGAGTTGTCTGTGCACAACGAGAACTTGCTAATGGAGGGGAAGGCTCACACCAAGGATGAGGCAGAGCAGCTGGCTGTGAAGCTCAGGACGCTGAAGGGCAGCCTTCTGGAGCTGCAGAGAGTGCTCCACGACAAACAGATCAACATTCGGGTAAGTGGCTCTTTCCAACTGGCTTCACGGTGGGCAGGAGGTTGGGGGATTTCATAGCAGTTTTATGCAACTGGGAAAAGGAGTAAAAATATTTTACTGATTTAGTTTGAGCTATTCATCTTTAGTTAGTAAATGGAATTACACTCCAAAATAAAGAACTGCCTAGCAAGCTTTAGCTTATCATTTTCAAGTTAACAGCACCACTTCGTGGTGAAACTATCCTAACCTCACTGTCTTCACTGAAAGGACAGTAATAAAGTAGACAGATCATTAGCTTAGTCTGGATATACTCTGTTCCTGTTCCCAGTCCCTTTAGATTGCATGTGCTCTGGGGCAGGATCCCTCCCCCAACAAAAGAACAGTCGTAAATACATGCTTTCCTCCATACAGCGTGCACAACGCAATGAACAGATAACATCAAGATAATGAAAAATTTTAAAATATGGCTAATACTTAGTGGCATCATTACACCAAACAAAATATATAATCAAAGGTCCATTTAACCTCAGTCTTGTCCTAGGTTTCTGTTCCTAGCACCATTAGTCTGCTTACTGCCACTAGTTCATTTTATTTAACAGTTGGTTTTGGTCATTCTTTAGGTTAAACTAGCATGTGGAGAACTGAATCCAGACAAGAAATCCAACCATGTAATGTGACTGACTGGGTTTGAATTTGCTTGCCCTGCTGTGACTCCCTCCCCCACCTTTTCTTTTACTTCTTTTCTGGGCTTTGCTGTGCAAATTAAACATGATAAGCTTCAAAGATTTCTAGCTTGTAATGCAGATTAAAGTCTACTGAGAGGTTAGCTTGAAAAGTCTCTTGACGTGCTAAGAACTATTTTTAGTCCAAAGCAACTGGGTAACTATAAAACTTAACATAGCTTCACAAAAAAACCCCAACAAACACACACAAAAAAAAAGGAAGGAAAAACCCAGTCATTTATTCCTATTGCCTCTAAGATGAAGTAACTTTCGTATTACCCTTCCATATTAAACCTCATGATTAGGCAAATGAAAAGTGTTATCAACAGCATGTTGGCATATAATACTATATTCTGATACATTACTTGTGAAGTGAAAAGGCATTACAGATCTTGTTGCTTCGTTTTAAAATATGTATGCTGCATTTTAAAATGTGCTGCATTTTAAAATACAATGGTGTGATTTAGTTTACTTAAACTTTTAAAACAGAGTTTTGGATGCTTTTCTAATATAAAAAATAACAACAAAATAATTTCCAGATGTAGAATATGAATCATTTAAGATGCTACATGCATGCAAGACTTGTTTCTTTATAAATTGCAAACTTTTTTTGGACTTCATTTATGGATTGTAGAAGAAAATAGGTATAGGCCATATAACATCTTCAAATTTTCATTGAGCAATTTTTTTCAAATGAGAAATTCTATTATGTCTTTTTCCAAACAATCAGGCATAAAGTATTTCTTTTGGACTGAGGCCCAGAGCATCAGATGCCCAAAAATGCACTATCTTCTGCCATTATTAACCCTGAGAAACATTACATGCTAATGGCACCATTGCTCATGCATGTAAGAAACTGGGACTTACACATGTCTCTAGATGTACTGGTAACCCTGTAATTGCCCAGAGGCAAGGACCAGCCTGCCCCCAGACAAGGAAGGATCCTCCCAAGTTGCACTGCAAGACCAAGAGTGTTGTAAAGACTGAGATACATTTTCCTTAAAGTGGTATTTCAGTATATCTGTTATTCTTGTGACACAAGGCTTTTTAGGAGCCAGTGTGAGATTCTGTGACTTCCTTGCAGCAATTTCAGTTTTCCTTCTAATTTTAATTAATTAATGTCACTAATGATAAGGAAAAAGTGATTTAGAGACCAAGTCCTTCATTCATAAGATAAAGCAGTGAAATTCTATAGAAAGATGCTGGATCAGGAGAGTTCCAGACTACATTGATTCCAAATGTAGCATTTTTCAAGAACTTTGAAAGATACACAAAACATCACTTTATTACTGTTATCTACTAACTTCTGTGACTTAGGAGCAATAAAAATAAATAGAAACCTTATAAAAAGAAGAAGTACAATGGATTTGCAGTAAAAAAAAATACAGATAGTGTTTCTTTACTTTTTATTACAAAGTGTGTGGAGGGACAACTTCAGTTCCACAAGACAAATATGCCTGATACAGGTTTGTACAATTCTGAACTCCTTTGGGAGATCAGTTTTATCACCATTTTCTTCAGGGATTTTCCAATTATTTCTGTGCTGCAGTGGAATGTCCACAGGAATGACAGCTTCAAGCATTTATTTCCCTGGCTATTTAAAGGAAATGTAATACAGTTCCTTCAGACAGAATTAAAATGAAAATGCAAGTGTGTTTTTCAAACTTATATTCTGTGATTTGAGAATGAGAAAATCTGGTTCACAAATAATTTTGATCTAAAAAGTATGCACAATAGCATATTTGCAAAACCTCATTGCATCCACAAATGACACAATCCCTTTTACACTCTTTGCTATTGCAGGAACTGTGGGACTACTATTTATTTGTCGTAGTACAACTCCAAAATTGTAGCTTCTCAGCCCGCTTCCCAGAGAAGAGGAGACTCAAAATCTGACTGAAATCAGACTGCCCAAATGCGATGAAGAACTAGTGTTGCGGATGGAGTGAGAGTACACTTCACTCATAAGAGAGAACCAAAAATATAGTTTATTGATGTAAAGCAGTGAGTTAACAAAGTTCAATAGTAAACGCAACAGTGTTTTAACAAGATTCGATGGCAAGGTGTACATGTGATTATTTACTGCATACAGGACAGGGTCAGACAAACCTGTCAGGAAGACCCTCCCGTTGAGTCATGAGGTTCAGAAAGGACCCCCTTGCTTTCTAAACTCCTTCTCAGAGAGGAGTCTGGGTGCGGCTGGATCCAATCCTAGTCCCAGACTTGGTCAATGGTTTATGTCTAAAATCAATCAATCCTTTATATCACTTAGCTAAGATTTCAAAGTTTGGCATGCTAATAGTCACTTAACAAGGATCTGTTGCGGCAAGGAATCTCTCAACCTCGAGGAGTAACCTTGAGAGGCATCCCTACTCAAGGGGAGATCCCACCGTGCAGCCCACTGCCGTGCAGGAGAGCTCAACGGGCCCTGGGCTGTCCACTATTTATCGAGTAAGGTGATTGACTTATAGTCATATTTCATACCAGCAAGATGTGTGGGTCACTGCTCCAGACAGCCCTTGGCTACTGTGTTGCCATCCGTCCCCAAAGTCCAGCATAAGCTGGATGCAGCCATCATGACCCCCAGTGGTGGTCATTGCTTATATGGCAGGGGGGTGGGGAGCACACCGCCACACCTAGATACTGTTCTCTAAAGGAATTTACAAGTTGAACAGCTATTGTCCCTAGAGCATATAAAATGAAGCAAGTTTTTTTATAATTTACAGAAAGATTGTCTTTTTTCTCATTTTTACTAGGAAAATTAAAATTCTAGACCCTCTTTATCACTCACATAATATTTTCTTTGCCTAATCTGATATCCTATAAAGATATTGTTCACACTCCAACCACATCAGCTTTTCTAGAAACTTCTTCCTACAAAGTAAAGTATCACAGTTTACCTGCAAACTGAATCCTTAGTGAAACAAAGCTATTTCATAGAGCAAGGACTAATGGTTCTTTCCAGCTCTAGATACCTGCTTGCTTGTTTTGCTCCTCTTACAGTTTATATCCTCTAACACTAATCAATCCTTTCAACTCCAGTATACTCATCATCCGCCAAAATTGAAATCTTACACCTAACTTCTACTACTTAGCAAAACTCTGCTGTTTCAGTGCCTGATGCCAGGGACACTGGTGGCAGAGGTCCATCCCAGTTGTTAGTATAAGAAGCACCAGATGAGGCAAGAGGGGTTTCCTCAGCCTCCTTCAGCTCTGCTGGTCCCTGCCTGATTTGAGAGAAAGGCTCTCTGGAAGGTGGAACGTGTTTTTGTTTTGGAGAGCCTCTGTAAAGTCTGAACAATTTGGTGCTCTTACTCCATTTAGAATAAGAGCTGGATCATGGGCAAAATATGAATCCTACAAAAATGAGGTATATAAATAAATGGGAGAGGAATTAAGCCCCAGCTTTAGCTCTTGAAGCTTAAAAATAAAGTGCAAACTCTACAAGTCATCATGTGTATGCAAGTAACATTAAATAAATCCAGAGAGGTGTGTAGATCTAAGTAGCCAGACCTACAACAAGTCTGTCTTTAACATTATGCCTGGTGTGTTAAAATCCCTGCATTTGAATACGTTGGCCACTAAGATAATTTAAATTTACAGCCAACATGGATTTCAGAAGTCAAGAAGTTGATAAAGCAGTTTTTGGAACTATTAAGGCATTTGCTCTTTTCTGCTTTGCTTACACAGAAGGCCTGCTTAATCACTCATGTTGGAAAAACATACTGATAGAATTATTGAAGTGAAAGGACTGTTGCTTTTGCTGTTCTATTATAACATTCTATGGTTTGGTCTCTTACTGTCTTTACTGTTCATATCATATAATCTGCTGTTAACTGACTGTGTTTCTGACAACCACAGGTAGAGTTATGTACTTATTGAGAAATAAATTTTGACCAGAATGACAGCTAGCATTCTCTCGGTTTTAGTTAGACAAAAAATTGGCTTTACTTAGACTAAAAACCTGGCAGAAACAATCCATTGATTCCCTGAGTTGCCAGTTAGAGCTGCACCCTCCATTACAGACCAATGCTGGTTTTTAGAAGCAGAACAGACTTCAAAAACATATCAGTCCATGGTCTCTGATCTCTGGTGTCTGATTCTAAGTGCAGTGGTGCATGTTTATTTTTATGGATGCTTTCTTGCTAGTAACCAATGACCAGTAGAAGTCAGAAATCTAAACTCATTGCTCACTTCAGAATTTATGTGAGCCAGCAGCTTGAGAGGTGGAAGGTGGCACTACGTGTGGTTTTGAGTTGATGAGCTGGACCTGCCAGCTCTCTAGCAATATAAGAGAGTTTGTAAAATCTTTATTTCTTTCTCTTAAAGCAGGGATCATTACAAGAAAAGGAGGAGACTGATCTGGACTTTGTTTCCTCACAAAGCTCCAGTGTCCAAGAATGGCTGGCACAAGCAAGAACCACTCGCTCACAGCAGCAGCAGAGCACCCTGCAGCAACAGAAAGTTGGTGGTTTGCATTTCTTTTACTCCCGTCTTTAGATTGTGCTTAACACTGTAGCTGAGCCGTTCTTGTTAATATTTCCACTGAAATCTTCATTTTTACAATGTTTCTTACTCAGTGCGCTTGTAATGATGCATCTGAGCTCGCTATTTTGTAGCTGGCTGACCACGGTCAACTCACTTAATCACTCTATACTTCCATTGTCCATTAGTAAAATTAAATTGAATCAACCCTTAAAGTTACTGTAAGGAGATGATGGTATTTGTTCAAAATAGTAATCAACATTGTCTTTATAGAAGCAAAGATACACGCATTACAAGGTATATCGTGTTGCATGATACACAGACATCCTCACTAGGTTAGGTTTAAGAAACTGCATTGCATTAGTCAATTAGTTCAACAATCCAGTTTATGTACCCAATATTTCTGTGTCCCTGGGTGGAGATTTTGCACTGCTTTCGGTGCTCAAGCAAGCCATATCAGAAATAGTTCAGCTATCTTTGCATGACAGTTATGCAATGTAGACATGTCCTTCCAAGGCAAAAACAATCTGTTTGAGGTTTGTTTTGGTTCTTGTAACTTGCTATGCTAGGAGCTGGAACAAGAGCTAGAAGAGCAGAAGAATCTGCTTCGGTCAGTAGCATGCCGTGGAGAAGAAATCCTAACACAGCAAGGTGCTCCAGAAGGCCTATGTATAAGGTGTGCTTTCATGTGTTCTTCTGCGAAGTAAATTTCTATGACTCTGTGCTTTGTCATCCTTATGTTTACATCCCTCTTCTGCATATAATCCACTAATTTTTGTTTTAGGATTTTTATACAGCACCTAGGATACTGGAGTCCTAGTTTATAATTCAGGAGCCTGATAATATAGTTACACAAACTGTTTTGTGCTAGTAGATCACCTTTAGCATTTAGAAATTCCTTTTATTATCAAGCATTGCACTAAAATTACAAACTAGTAGGATTCGTTAGACAGGCAGTGGATCCATTACTATAGCTTTGTGGTCCAGCATTGGTGTGTGAATCATAGCTGATCTCTAACATTGTAGTCTGCCATTGTAACCAGATCTTCCCAAATGAAATACTCATTGCTTAATTTTATTTTTCCTGTAGTTAGTGAATATTTTTCTTTTTGAAGCCTTGTGTATTTCGAATTTCATCTCTGGTCTATATCTTCTTGCACACTTGCCCATTTGGGGGAAGTAGATGTCTATAAAAGCCTTGACTCTGGCTGGGAGAGACTTTTGCCCTAGCAAAGGCAGAAGAAAATAACTGCCTACTGCCCATGCGGACCTTGAGGGAGCAGGAAGGGCCAGGTCTTGGGAAGAGGAAACCAGGGTGAACATTACCAGCTTGAGAATCAAGGAGCAGTCAATCCTTCAGTTAAAATACTTTGTTGATGTATCTCACTAGTAGTGAGCACCTTTGTGGCTCCTCCAGCATGCCAAAGTCTGGAACATGAAGGTAGTTCATGAGGCAGCAGAACCAAGACTTATGCATACGGAATGTAAGCTGTACTCAGTAAGTTCTTTTCCTCAGCATTTGTGTTAATTCAATGTGTTTTTTTATTATAATGACAGAAAGTACTTATCTCCTTCTTTTTGAGGCTTCCTTCTGTCACAACATGTTATACTATAGAAACAAACAAAAAAATCAAACAGAAAATGCTGAACTTCTTTCACTGTTTACCAAAGCTAAACTCATAAGCTTGTTCTGCATTAAAATATCAGGGTATGTATGGCATTTTGAGAGGGGAGGTGAGGAAGGAGTCAGATAATTTTTTTTTAATTATTTTTTTATTTCATGCTTTGAAGTAAAGCTTGTTTAAAGGTTACATTTCAATGTAGTATATATTCTTTCTGTTTTGGGGGTTCTTACTTGGTATAGGTACTTGCAAGTCTAAACAGTTTCTTAGTACATTTTATCCCATCAGTCAAGAACTTCTGGCAGCTACAAACCAGCCTTTGTCTTACTATCTGAAAAAAAAAACAAGTAAAAGCTTTAAAAAGTAGCAATTTAAATGTAAAACTTCCTAGTTGAAAGAGAAAATAAATACCTTATGCTGTTATAGCTTTTGTATTTGTTAAACCTTTATGCATCTTGCCATTCAGTGAGAAGCCTGATACACTCTCTGAGGAATTAGGCTTGGAAGGTGAGAAGCCATCATCTGAAGAACAGATGAAGATGAAATGGGGAAGCCTGAACCAGGAATTCAATACCAAGCAGCAACTGCTCCAGAAAGCTTTGGAACAAGAAGAACTGGTAGCTATTTTTAATTTCTCTTTGCATTTTCTCTGTGAAAGCAGTTGTCACAACATGAGGTATGGTATGTGCATAGCAGATGCATTAAGGTGATGTAGTTAATGCAAAGAACATGGAACAATTTATTTTTGTGACATCTTTAAAAACTATTAAAAATCAGCACTAGCACTGCTCTTGTTCAAAGTGATTTGAATTGCACTACCATTCAGGTGAATAAACTAGAAAGGAAGAAAGGGCTCAGACAAAATTTTGATATACTTATCTAACCCAGGATAATTCTGTAACAAATTGTCCCTCTGAAATTGACCAGTACTCTAGCAACAACTTAGAGGAAAACCTGGTATTTTCAGTTTGAATTTATTGGTTACATTCAGTTTTTGGTCTTAGTGAGTATGTGACAAAGAAGCAAGTGATTTCAACCACAGAATTTTTACTGAAAGGAGCAGGATTTAATCAACTAAATTAGGAACAGTCTAAGATCTATATTAACGTACATCCTCCATTTTATTTTTAATAGACCCAGGCCCACTATTCTTTATATAATACTACATTAAAATCAGCTTCCAAAACTCTAGATATTTTGTATTCATTTCACAGTAATTAATTTTTTTTTGGTAAAAACAAGTCATTGCTAATTCTGGCCACAAGTATTTATTCTGCACTTCTAGTGAACCTCCTGTTGAGCAATCTTTTGTTCAAGATATTCATGACAGAACAGTCATGGGAGGGCCATGAGCATTATTTGGTGATATCCTCAGTCAGCAGTAGAATCTGTATAGCTGAATTTTGTGCCCTATGTGTGTGGTAGAAGCACTCTAATTAGTACTTCTCTCTCTGCAGCTTTATAGCAGACCAAACAGACTGGTATCTGGAATGCCTTTGTATAAGGAGGAAGGACAGGATGAGGATAAATCCTCAGTGTCACCAGTATTGGTTGAATTGAATCAGGCCTTTGAAGATGTGTCATCTGAGGTAACATTTCAATTGTCTTTACATCTGTCTTCCAGCAGAGCCACATTTACAATGAAAACTCCTCTAGCTCCCCCCTGGAAATCCAGCCCTTTCCCAAATATTAGATGTTAGAAAGAGTATCTTGTACTTCTGCTCTTGACTTCTCTGGTTCCTTTTGCCCAGGCTGGATGGGTGAAGGAGAGCCTGCATCTTGAACAGAAGCTGTATGATGGTGTCACAGCCACCTCCTTGTGGCTAGATGGTGTGGAAGAACAGGTCTTTGTTGCTACGGCTCTGTTGCCAGAGGAGGAAGCAGAAACATACCTCTGCAAGCAAGAGGTAAGGAATCCATGAATAGGACTTTCTTTAAATCGCCAATAGGGGTGCATTTTATGTAGTGTTTAGAAAGAAAATATTAGAATCCTAGATAAGTGACATGTCGCTGTCATAATCTCTATGTAATTGCAGTATTCTGCTACTGTTTAGAAGTAACTTTATTCACTGTGTAGAGAATTGTGGTGGGTTGACCCTGGCTGGACACCAGCTGCCCACCAAAGCCACTCTATCACTCCTGCTCCTAAGCTGGGCAGGGGAGAGAAAATATAATGAAAGTCTCGTGGGTCGAGATAAGGACAGGGAGATCACTCAGCAGTTACCATCACGGGCAAAACAGACTTGACTTGGGGAATTCAGTTTGATTTTATTACCAATCAAAATCAGAGTAGGGTAATGAGAAATAAAAACAGGTCCTGCCAGGAGCCTGCTCCAGCGTGGGCTTCCCATGGGGTCACAGCCTCCTTTGGGCATCCAGCTGCTCCGGCGTGGGGTCCTCCACGGGGTGCAGGTGGATATCTGCTCCACCATAGACCTCCATGGGCTGCAGGGGGACAGCCTGCCTCACCATGGGCCTGGAGCACCTCCTCCCCCTCCTTCTTCATTGGCCTTAGAATCATAGAATCATAGAATCATTGAAGTTGGAAAAAACCTCTAAGATCATCGGCCTTGGTGTCTGCAGAGTTGTTTCTCTCACATATTCTCACTCCTCTCTCCGATTGCAGTTGCGGAGGTTTTTTGCCCCTTCTTAAATATGTTCTCACAGAGGCGCTACCACCGTTGCTGATGGGCTTGGCCTTGGCCAGCGGCGGGTCCATCTTGGAGCCGGCTGGCATTGGCTCTATCAGACACGGGAAGCTTCTAGCAGCTTCTCACAGAAGCCACCCCTATAGGCCCCCTGCTACCAAAACCTTGCCATGCAAACCCAATACAAGAATGTTGCAGAAAGCAGCACCTGACCCGAATTTTTTCTGGTCGGAAGAGAATTAAACATAGAGTCTTTCTTCTGTGTAACTTCTTTGCTAAGTATTAGCAAACACCACAGTGTTGAAATGGAAATGAACTAAAAAAGAGGGAGGAATGCTCTGGGATATGGAAACAGTACAAATTCATCAGCATGAAATGGAGAGGGAGAGGAAGGGAGGGGAGAAGGAGAGAAAAAGAATTTTTCAGCAGCTACATGGATTTCTGCTTCACAAAGCCCTTATTCAGGCAGGTTCATTTTGTTTCAGCACTTGTTTTCCTCAGAGCAGTCTGGTGTTTGTTTTTTTTTAATTACTTTTTTATTATCGGAAATACTGTAGCTGCATAACTTTGTCTAGTGTGTGTATATTAACAATGTAAAAAAAGTCACTGCATCACTGCAAAATTGTCAATGGTTATGGCAATATGTTTGCCTGCTTTCTAGAATATCTAATTGTCACTTTTTTTGTTTTCTACAAAATCAGTCTCTTGCCAAAGAAATCAAAGAGATAACAGAAGAAATGGATAAGAACAAGAATTTATTTGCTCGGATATTTCCTGAGGATGGTGATAATAGGGATATTATAGAAGACACTTTGGATTGTCTCCTGAGAAGACTGACCTTGCTGGAGTCAGTAGTAAACCAGAGATGCCATCAGATGAAAGGAAAGCTCCAGCAAATAGCGACTTTCAAGGTATGATGCCCATCTGAAGGAATTAACAGGGGGTAAATGTCAAACGGGGATATAAAGGATGTGGTTCTCAAAGCAATGAGAATTTTTGGTACCAAATCAAGAGAACAAGTTTTCACAGGTTTTTACTGAAAATCAAACTACTTCTTAGGCTATGCAAAACTTGGCACTCAAATCATGATCCAAAATTTAAACTCTCTGCTAGAAGCCTTCTGCAACTCATGCAATCATTGTAGAAGTGGTCATTCATCCCACACTTTCTCACCCTGCTGGCATTGCAATAAATGGAAGTTGTTAACTACTGTTTTCAAAGGAGAAAAAGCAACTCTAGAGTTCCACTCTACAGATTTTATAATTTCATAAATCATAGAGTACACTGTTTTTATTAGCTGTGATAAAATAGAAAACATAATACCGATTCCCACCTTTCTGATCACCTTTAAGATATCCCATTATTCTATAAGAGCTTGTATCTCAAGCTGTCTGTAGTGAGCAAAGCAGAAAAAATGAAGTGAGAAATGTTCGCTTTTAGAAATCTTTTCAAACGGGTTCAGAAATGCTTTCAGACCTTGCTTGGTCTCTACCTTCTTTCCTATTCTTATCATATAAAGCCTCCAGTATGGTTTAATTTTAAAGAAAAAACCATAAATTCTAGCAAAAAAAAATTGGAAAATAGATTGCTGGTGTCTGTAGGTTAGGATCATCGTTTCATAGGTTGTTACTACAGGATTTCTTTCCAAACTCCATAACCTTTCCTCTGCAGTGGATAGGAAAAAAAAATAATTTCAACAATTTTCAATAAAAGGCCTTCCTTTGCTGAAGAAAGGAGACAAGCTGATTAGAATCCCATACCTTATTGTTATACCAGAGATATTTAATATTTAAAAGAATTACTGCATACAAAAATAAAAAATCAGAAACACACTCCTATATAATGCTAAAAGTCTTAGAGAAATGTACTGATTATTTTCCTTTTTACCAATATTAGGAGTTTGTTGGGATGAATGCATAAAAAACCAATTGATTGTAGCTTGGCAAAATTGTTAAGTATGTATGTATCTAGTCTGATAAGGTACTCTAAAAGTTGTAATGTGTAGTTAGCCCTGTAATGTGTTGAAGCCTTGTTTACTTTTTTGTTATATTTGCTCATGTTTCTAATGAAAAAAGCTTGCCTTAAAAAGTACAACATAGCTTGTTTATGAGCATATGTGATTGAATAAACTACACAAGAATAACATATTTTTGTTAAGTGAAGCTAGCTGACCCTTACTAAATAGTTATCTAATTGGAAGGCAAAAGCAGAAGTGTGTTCACAGGTTATGTTTTGAATAGGAGTTGGTTTAGCTTTTTGCTCATGTATATCCAGTTACGGGTTTTCGGCAACATTGCATGTTTTGCATTGGATAATTATGGTGCTTCCAATGTTGAATAGTTTTTATGCCTTAGTGCTGACATTATAACACTGTAATGCTTTAAACTTTTTGGAATCTAGAATATTTTTCAGTTGGTTTTGGCTGTGATTGGCTATAATTTGTTGTTGCTGTCTCCTGTAGAATGACCTGAAGCTCCTGTTTACATCGGTGGCTGATAACAAATATTTAGTTCTACAGAAACTAGCAGAGGCAGTTGAGAGACCAGAAACAGAACAAATGCAGGTATTACCAAATGTCTATTATTTGGGCAGGGGCAAGGGAAGAGATAAAGTTTCTATTCAAGGTATAACTGGATTCTAGAGAACAGTTGCTTTTTATGGGAGAATGTATGTGTTCACATAAAGTATGTGAAAATGAGTACTTCCAAGAGTGTACTACACATGTTTATAAATTAAAAAAAAACAACCACAAAGTGTCTTTATTATCTCCTCAGCTGACCCTAGTTATGCACATACTGGGCACTATTTGAAAGAAAGAAAACTTCAATGAACCAAAAACATCTAAAGTTTGGCTAAATTGTTTGGCTATTACACTTTATTAAAAACCAAAGGCACTTTCTTCTGCACTGGTTTATAGTAATATCTTGACTGTTATTCATTTTAATTTAAGGCAATAATGGTTTTTTCTTTTTCAGGAATTGCCTGATGAATAATTAATTAATAGTATGACAAAATACATCCTGTTTCCTTGTTTCTGTTTTGCCAATGAGAAAAGTGAATGAAGTATGTTAAGGGCTACTTTCTACAGATGCTTCTTGTTACCCAAGAGCTACTGTTACCTGCTTCCAGCAGGTGACTGAGAAGAAGAGACTTATCCTTCAGCTAAACAGAAATACTGGCAGAAATACTGGCAGCTAAACAGAAATATATATATTTGATGGAATTTTAGTTCATGTATAAGTAAGAGAGCTGGCAGCCTGTGTCTTCCTTTCCTATCTTCCGTGACATGACATGACATGGTAACAAAAACAACTGAACTGATTTTTTTTCTGAACATCTACCTTGGCTGATAAAACATTCAAATTTAAAAGCATTACTGTTTGTTCAAAATGTGATTGGGAAAGTAGAAATAAGGCCCTTAATCAGCCAGGTAGCTTAGCTGCATGAAGTGTAAGTTTAGTGACTATATTATGCATACTTCGCATTACTAGGAGTCAGGAGTTCTACTCACATATATAGTTTAAGCATTTGGATATGCAGTTTCCAAGAAAGGGCCTTAACAAAGGACCTTAACTACAGGAGTCTACCTTGTGCTTTTAACTTTGTTATAGCTTGCATGCATTAATTCAGCAGAGACTCCGAGGCTGAAAGACCTTGTTTCTTGTAGCTTCCATTGAAAAAAGCCAAATTATCACCTGCATACACTTGCAGATAGCAACCTGTGTGCTTTCAGTTGTCATTTTCCAAGTACAAAAGGGGATGTACAAGTCCTTTTCCTTGACAGTAATTTTGGCCCTATCCTAGTCCTGTAAGGGAACTGTACACAGCTCTTTACATGTCTTTTGCTGTGATCGTTGTTTGCTTGGTGCTCAGATGTGACAGGAATGAGTGTTAATAAAAGGAATGCTTTAAAAGAAGGTGTTAGAACAACTAGTAGTCCTTTTGTGCCTGCACCATATAATTAAAACGTGGAACTTCACAGCAAGGTTTTGTATAAAATAGTGTATGATACTAAAACAGTTTGTTATTAAAAAAACAATAATGCCATATGGTATTTAACTTTAAGAAACAAGCTGGGCTCTCCCAACTTCGAGTTAATACTTTTTCTTTATAGTATCCTTTAAAATTTTAGCAGACTGAAGCACTGATTAATACTTCAGGCAGAAAACAGAAAAGGATGTTACTGTATCTGTTATTTTACTTTCAAACTAATTGATGTAATTTTCAAATACAGGTCATACTGCAGGCAGAAGAAGGTTTGAAGGAACTAGATACTGGAATCAACGAATTAAAGAAGCATGTAGACAAGCTACAAATTGACCAACCTTCTCTGCAAGAGCTATCTAAGATCCAGGTATGGTTCTTAAGTTCCATCCTAGACCTGTCTGGTGATATCAAAGGTATTAGTATGCTCCTTTTTATTGTTCATAAGGCAGTTTAGGAAAGCATATTTAAAAGCATTTCAGTGTGTATAAAAGGTTATTTTCTCCTTGATTCACCTAGTTTTTCTACTTAGTGCATTTTCAGATTTTCTAACATCTCTATTATTAACAGTATTAATCATAAAAAACACACAAAAACATGTTTTGTTTCAGCTCTTGTTGAGTCCCTGTTCAAATAGATCAAGTTAAGCATGTAAATATAAATGTCTGCTGAAGGTTGAGCCCTGTTCTCACCACTGTCTCATGATCTGGGGTTTAGTTCTCTCTTACATCCGTCATTTAAAAAAAAAAAAAGAAGAAAAAAGGAAGTGTGTGAAGGGTGATAGATAGCTAAGTGTGACCTGAAACTGGAAATGTTCTGCTTTTACTAGAACACCTCTCATGTTCCTGCATACTTTCCATTAGACCTGGTTTTGAACACACCTAAGTAGTAGGACTCTTATCTTAAGGCTCTCTGAAGTAGATACATGTGGGCAATTGATCCAGAACCTTTATGAAGCTGTTGAAACTCCTTTGTGAGCAGTTTGGTGCTGAGGCAGGGGAATGCTTAAGGAAAAATCAAAGAGAAGGTTTATGACTGAATTTTACCCTTTATAATGACGTAATAATAAATTGGAAGCAAAGAAAACAGCTGAAACCGGACCATAAATTTATTAAGCCAACAAAACAGTGATCTCAATTAAAAATGAATGACAAAGAGTTGTGCAAATATGTCTTTTTCCTAGTTCTTTATCCTTTTGGTCTTAGAGCCTCCTGCTTATTTTTGCTGTCAGATTATGTGTAGATATTCTCCTCCCCTTGATTTCAGTTTTTAGAAAAGCCTTTCCTTTGCTTTTTTGACAGTTGCGCTTCTCACAATTGTCTCTTTAAATCTAGAAGAGCCAGCTGCAGTCTGAGGGTGGGTACTTTGCTGTAGCACTGGATGGTCATAGAGATATTTTGGTTTATTAGTTTCTGGATGCCTTGTCTTGATCAAAAGTACGGGCTTACCTTCACAGTCAGATGTATGTTCTGAGAATACAATTCTCAAAACCAAAACAAGAAAGTAATCCTGCTCAGGTGAAGAAAAGCATCTGTAGGTTGTTCTCACTTTTATGGTTGAGGTATGCAAGATGAGTAATAGCACACAGGAACTGATGAGATTCTTCCTTTTGGCTCGTTTTGTAATTTGGCAGTATGGGCACACTGTGAAATACACACTGCACTCTTTCTACACTTCACTGTTCTATATAGAGTACATTGCTATTTTGGGCCTGGTTTGGTTTTTACTACGGCTTGTATATATCTTGCTTGCTACCAGTAAGCTGCTGGGGCAGGAGAGGGAGACAAATCTGGCTTTGAGATGCCTGTAGTCTGTAGCCATGTAGTCCATCCAACCCCCTGCATTATAAGAAGCGAAATGTAAACAGCATCTGCAGTGTGCAGTAGCCACACAGTAGTCTGGACTTTGATGACTTAAGCCCAATCACCCTACTCCTTTGCTACTTAAAGCACGCCTTTGGGATTCTGCTAACTTTATTCCTGAATGCATGCACTTGAAAGAGTTGCAGGTCTTGCTGATTTTTTCTCTCTTTAAATGGTGACTTGTTAATTTATCAATTAAGTCAGTATATCTGCACAGTCTTTTTGAGCTGGGAAGAGATGTTACTCTGCTAGTATTCACAGAGGAATAGAGGGACAGTAAGGTTGCTTATAGGACGACATGTGTAAGGTGTGAAATAAGAATCACCATTGCTACTCTTTACCCCCAAGGATATGTATGATGAGCTGATGATGATCATTGGATCCAGACGGAGTGACCTGAATCAGAATCTGGCTCTTAAGAGGCAGTATGAACGGGCTTTGCAGGACCTGGCTGACCTGTTAGAAACAGGCCAAGAAAAGATGGCTGGTGACCAGAAAATGATTGTTGCTTCTAAGGAAGAGGTTCGATCGCTACTTGACAAACATAAGGTAAGAAACTGTGACATATTTCAGGACTAATCATGACTGTAAGCTTGTACGCAGCAAATTGCTAACCTTCTGTTCCTAAAGGTTCAGGAGCTTTTCAGAATGGTGGGCCAGTATTAAATCAAGATATATTAAAACTTACTGTATTTTAAATTGGAATCAATGAACCGTTCTGACTGAATAACTTCCAAATGCTCTGTTGAAGGTGAACCCAGGTAGATCATGTTTTCTTCCTCGCTCTAATAACAGGTTCCTATTCTTGTCCTGTCATGCTACATAGCAATTTCATCCACCACTCCATTTTTTTCCAATGGAAATTTATATTTGCTAATAGCACCTACAAAATACAACAAGACTTTTCCACATTTTTTTATTAGGCAGAATTTTTTTGGTGCTGTATATCTGATTTAAACTATTTTTGCTTATGGAATCAGAGTTGGGATATTATCTGCATGGAAAGGCTGATGTCTTTCTTTCTTTAAAAAGGCCATTGCCCTTTTTATATTATGTGTTGGATTTTGTGAAATGTTGGTGGAGACCTCATTCTATGTCTACAGCTGCTTGATTTTACTGCCGTTGTCTTAAAATGTTTTAGTGGTAATTGAGTAACGATTGCACTTTCTCTTTTCTATTCTCTCTTCATCCTCTCCCTCACACCCAAATTTCTCAGGAATATTTTCAGGGGTTGGAGTCTCACATGATCCTGACGGAAACGCTCTTTAGAAAGATGAGTAGCTTTGCCCTCTTGAAGGAAACTCGGTCACATTCAGAGCTAATGACACAAGCTTCAACTGTATTAAAGCTGGCTCATAAACGAGGTGTGGAGCTGGAATACATTCTAGAGGTGAGAATTTCCGTGGCCTTTTCTGTACTGCCATTGTGATCAACCACCTGGATATTCTGTAATGCTGATTTCCTGTGCTTGGACAGAATTGATGGACATCAATCCCTTCTGTCATACACACAAGGCACTGACAGACTATGTGTAATCTTTGCTATTTAACTGTTGTGACCTTCAGGTGATACAAGTTGTGTTCCTCTAAATTTGAAAGACCTGCTTAGCTTTAGCTGACAAGGAACACATGACAGCTTTATCCATGTGTTTTAAGTAAAAGCTGAGCTTGACACAGGGATGGTGTCTTATTATAGGTTCACCAGACATTTGTACTGTTATTTCTGTACATTCACAACCACGCAGCTATAGGATTTCATATTGCGAAAGCAAATAACAAAAATTCTAGATACCCAGATCAATATTCACCGTATACATGGATAATTTGTGCTTGCAGACCTGGATGCGTCTGGATGAAGATTACCAGGAACTTACCAGACAGCTGGAGTCTGTTGAAGGTAGCATCCCCACTGTTGGTTTGGTGGAGGAGACGGAGGACAGGCTTACAGACCGGATTACACTTTTTCAGGTTGGTGCTTTTTAGACATTCTTTATGGAAAAGTTGGATGAAAGGGACCTCTGAAGGTCATCTACTCCAGCCTCCCACTTGAAGCAGGACAGTTGCCATGGGCTGGATCAGCCACAGTGTTGGAAACTTCAAAAGATGGAGATCCCACAGCCGAGCTGGGGACCAACTGCAGTGCTGCACCACCCCCTACTGAAAAGGTTTTCTATAATGCCCAATCTAAACCTTCAACTTTCAGCTTGTCACCATTGTCCTTTTTACATTGTGTGGCACTACTGAGGAGCATTTACCTCTATAAGCTTTTTAATTCCACTCCAAATAGTTGTAGGCCTTTGTTAGACTGGCCCTTAGCCTCCTGTTTGTCAATCTAAAATAAGCATACCTCTCGGCCTCTTTTTAAAGGACATGTGCTCTAGGTCCCTAAACATCTTAATAGCTTTACACCAGACCCTGACTACTTCCTTCTTCTTGAACGCAGTGGGAGGTGGGGGCAGGGCAGAATCAGATGCACTAGATGTGGCCTCATCAGCACAATGTAGATGGGGATAATAAAATCACTTAAATTGGTTGTTTACAGTCCTAATGTAGGCCAGTGCTGTGGCTTGCCTTATTCACGATGTCTTGGTTATGGAAGATGCCAGGTTAAATACACGAGCCATTCCCTTCCTAGCCTGTACTGATAAACAGCGTTATTTTGCCCAAGGCACAGAATTTGCAGCTCTTGTTGAGCCTCCTAAGGTTTCTGCTGCCTCCAACCTCAAGTTTATCAAAGTGTCTTTGGACTAAGTCTGCAATTTTTTGTGTCAACCACTCTCCCTACGTTAGTGTCATCCACAAAGTTACTGAGGGAGCACTTTCTGTCATCATCCATGCCATTAATGAAGATGTTGAAGATGTTTGGGCTCAAATATCAACAATCCCTGGAGTACACAGCCTGTTACAGTCTGCCAGCCAGACATCGAGCCTTTGATCACTAGTGTTTGAGACAGGTAATGCAGCTAGTTTTCAACTCATGTATCCAGCCCGTAGGGAAAGTTTGCCCTTACAAAGCATCTTTCCACATTCCTGCATTGCTGCAGCGATCTTTTTCTTTCCTTACATGCCACCACCAGTCCTTCTCACACAGATGTGCATCACCTGGAGAAGAGAAGGCTCCGGGGAGACCTTATAGCAGCCTTCCAGTACCCGAAGGGGGCCTACAGAAAGCTGGAGAGGGACTTTTTACAAGGGCATGTAGTGATAGGACAAGGAGCAATGGCTTTAAACTGAAAGAGGGTAGATTTAGATTAGGTATAAGGAAGAAATTCTTCACTGTGAGGGTGGTGAGGCACTGGAACAGGTTGCCCAGAGAAGTTGTGGGTGCCCCATCCCTGGAAGTGTTCAAGGCCAGGTTGGATGGGGCTTTGAGCACCCTGCTCTAGTGGAAAGGGTCCCTGCCCATGGCAGGGGGGTTGGAACTAGATAATCTTTAAGGTCCCTTCCAACCCAAACCATTCTATGATTCTCTCCACTTCCAGAGGAGGGTCCTGTGGGAGATGGTGTCAAAGGCCATACTGAAGTGAGTCTCATCCACAGAGACAGTAATTTTGTCATAAAAGGCTGTCAAGTTAGTGAATCCAAGCTGAATATTCCTGATTACCTTTTGGTCCTTTTTGTCCCTGAAAATGGATTCTGAGGGGATGTGCTCCATGATCTTTCCAGAGAGCAAGGTGAGGCTGAGCAACCTGCCGTTCCCCAAGTTGCCTTCCTCCTTCTCAAATGCAACAAGAACTAGTAGTTTAAATATAGGTTGTCTACCACATCCTGTTTTTTCCGTCTGTTCTCAGAATGAGAATTCTGGTCTAGTGTTTTGTCTTTGTCTCATTATACACCAGATACTTTAGTTGTGTGGGGGGGGGTTTGTTATTTTCTTGTTTTGTTTTACAGAAAAATGTCTGCCAGATTTTTCTTGCAAATTGACTTCTTGTCTACTCTGAATTTGTTATGTATATTGTTCTCTTATTAGACAGCTTTCTGCTTTTGCAATGGTATGAGGAGATCTTAAGCAATCTATTGTGTGTGGGTTTTATTTTGGTTTTGTTTAATGCTGGGTTTTGTTTGTGTTGGTCCTGACCCTAAATTAGTTTCCCTCTTTTGTTTCTCTTGTCAGTTACGTAAATTAGGTTATTCAAATCCAGATTCTCATACTCGTCTGTGGCATAATTTTTAATACCTTTTTTTCTCTCCCTGTAATCATGTTTAGGTTAAAAATCCATCATAATTAATTTATGGCTATCTTGGAAATTTTTATGCTATTCTCTAGGAGTTATACATTTATTTGTGTATATATGTTGTATGTAAGTACACACACAGACACATGTATATAAATATAAAAATTCTGTTAAGTTACTAGAGCTCTATTTATGTGAAAGAAAATAAGATAAGAGTGATAGAAATTTTATGTACTCACCATGAGACTGGTAGTTTTGTACACTTTATCTTCAGATTAGTTTCAGCATAACTGAAAAATTGGAATGCATGTACATTTTGTGCTCAAGCTTAGTCAGATATATAGATGCTTTAAAAATCTGTACTATTTGTGTAATGATAGCAGAATTTGGCAGGTATATTTGCCCACATATACAAATTCTTTACCCATCCACAAGTCACCATTTAAATGAAGTCTGTCTCAGCTCCCCGTTGGATTCAGGGTAAGAGTATTAACAGCCTTTCCTTTTTCAGTACCTTTTTTGATTTCTTTTGCCATAACAATTGGCTTCTGTGTTCAGGAATTTGGATGGGGGGCGGGGAGTGATCTTCTCTTTTGTAGCCATGGATAGCAGGAGTGTAGATCAGTAAAAGAAGAGTTAGATGACCAGAGAGCTGAAGATAGGCATTGAAAGGGCTGAAGTGTGGCCACTGTTAATAACTTGATATTGGACACCTTTAACTTTCATTGCAGTAGAGTTTTCAGCAGATGGTACATTAAGTTCTGACATTTTAATCAATTTCTCTCAGAAATGGTGTTGCCCACAAAGATTCTTTTGAAATTTTTCAAGTGTAAAATATCTACGCTAAGGAGGAGTTCATCATAAGGAGGTGTCAATAGACATACTGAAGTGAGGGGGCTTATGACAGCACATTAAGATTTTGAGCAGGTTACCTGCATGATGGTTCTCAGGGAGTTCTAGAGCTGGAGCAGAGGGAAAAAATGTGATGTGCCATGGTGACATTGGATACGCTACAAAATGCAATAAAAGAAAACTAAATTTTGAGAAAGTGTGATAGCAGAGACCTGCAGAGCTAACAGTGTCCTCTGTCATTACAGCATCTGAGATCTAACCTGACTGAATACCAACCTAAATTATACCAAGTGCTAGATGATGGGAAAAGGCTCCTTTTTTCTGTTAGCTGCTCAGATCTCGAAAGTCAACTGAACCAACTAGGAGAACACTGGTTAAGTAACACCAGCAAGGTTACCAAGGAGCTTCACAGGCTGGAGACAATACTGAAGCACTGGACAAGGTAATGCTGATGTAATGGATAGTATAAACTTCATCACCTGCACTGTTCAGGTCAAAGCCATTCTGAAGCCGCAACTATTAGATTCGACATTTAAAAGAAAATACTTTGAGATAGTTTGTCTACTCTACAATATCCTCCTTCTGTTCCGTACAAGTGCTATCACACTGTCTCCTTTGCAATAAAACACGTACCAGATAACAGCTGGTGGGAGGAAGTCAGAAGATACCTTATTTAGGCGACTAAGTTAGAAGCCCCATGTCCATACAGGTTGATGAGAAAGGGTGTGTACTTTGCTGGGTAGCATGAGTAGCCTCAGCATGTTCTGATAGGGGTATTGCCACTGCTGGGTTCTCGTGGGTCTGTGTCATTGCATATATGGAAGGGAGCTTTTAGCTGCCTTTAGTAATGTTCATATGCTACTTTTGAAATTAATTCTCTTAAGTGATATGCAAGCTTTGTCTATTATTCATAATATCCCTGGCTTGTTGGCTCAGTAGCCTTTCAAGAGAGATACATAAAGGGATTGTATGTATAAAGGTTATGTGGAGACACTCTCATTCTGACATCTCAGTAGTTGCTTGGCATATGAAATGATATGGAGATAGCTTCTGAAAAAAACATTAAATTTCTTCTCTGAGATACCTTGCAGTAAAGCTTTTGTAAGATTGAGCCTTCTAATGGAAAGCAAAAATGTGTTTATGTGTGTGAGGTGGGGTGGGGTGCTGTTGCAGCTTGCTCAAACAGATTGGTAACCTAGTTACTAGTCCTTCATTAAACTTTGCTTTTCCTAAGAGGCAAAAAGAAGGCACTGTTAGGAATTGTGGGTGTAATGGCTAAAATAAGAGCTTCCTGATACCATGCTTGTCTTTAAAATTAAATCCCATTTTTCTGAAATTTAATAAAGGAAAGAAAATATTTTTATTTTAAATCTGGCATATAGTATCTTCTTCTAATACGTGGAGGAGACTGCTCAGTTGGAGGCAAGAAGTGGCAATGACTGTTTTAGTTTTCTTTAAACATCTTTACAGGTATCAGAGTGAATCAAGTGAACTGACACACTGGTTACAATCTGCAAAGGAGCGACTTGACTTTTGGAGCCAGCAGTCTTTGACAGTTCCTCAGGAACTGGAAACAGTCCGAGACCACCTGAACTCCTTTTTGGTAAGTTATTCATGGACCTAGGACACCTTTTTCTCCCCAGTTACAAATAAAGAGTTGAGCAATCATATGGTTATACTTTTTCTCATCATTGAAGTAGTGCGTATGCAAAAAAAAAAATCTGCTTCTGTAGGTGAGCTGTCCTTCAAAAAACTGGTGTGTTTGCACATTCAGCACTCCTTTGCTATATGCAAAGATTGTAAAGCTTGATGATTCTGAAAAAAGAAAAGGGTTTTATGACTGAAAACAATTTTTATTCTCACTTGGTCTGAAGTATAGCTGATAAACACTAATAGAAAGTACATATTTTTAAAAGGAAGGGAGGGTATTCTTAGCTTTCTGAGGTAAAGCTTTAAGTACAGTAAACAAGTAGTTGATTATTTCCACAAAAATGATTCTGCTTACAGGAGTTTTCAAAAGAAGTGGATGCTAAATCATCACAGAAATCTTCTGTCCTGAGTACTGGGAACCAGCTCCTCAGGCTGAAGAAGGTGGATACAGCAGCATTGCGTGCGGGATTGTCCCACATCGACAGTCAGTGGACAGAGCTGCTCACACAAATCCCAGCAGTTCAAGAGAAATTGCACCAGGTAAGGAAGGCCTTTGAAATTCCAGAAAATTCAGACCATACAGTTGGCACTGCTTTTGAGAGATAGTTGCTCCCTTCCTCAATTTATCCATGTGAGGCAAGATAGGAACAGCGTTACTCCTGTTTTAATGTGAGAAAGCTTACACTCATGTCCAAATCCTGTCTACCCATACTGTCTAACACCAATTGGTGTTAATGTCAAACTTTCACAGTTACATATGTTAAATTTTAACCGAAGAATAGATGAGGATTTTTTCAACATGTTGGTATGCTTTTTGGAAAAAGGGAGTTCACATCCCTGTGCCCTGTCAGATTTGGATGGTGGCTTTGTTCTAATTGAACAGACTGGGTTCAAGCCTATGCAAGACAAAATAAATCTAAAAACATTGTGCAAGGTTCCTGCTGGTGTTTGTAGGAGCAGGAGGGTTTTGGTTGTGTAGTTTTGGGTTTTTAATGCTATAATACTGAAGGTAAAGAATTATACTGGTCTAAAAGTTGTCTTAGTATTTAGTTGCTAGGAGGTTATCAGTCTAAGCGGTTGCTTCAGTTTATAATTTGGAATGCTTTCATAGTAATATCATCGTGATTTAGGGGGAGAGAGCAAGGGTAACAAATGTTACCTGAGTATATTATATTAAACAAAATAATGTCATTCAGTGGTTCTCTGAACTGTCTTGTAGTGCAAAATACGTATGTCTACCTAAAAATGTCATAGAACACGTTTCGGAGTAACTAAATGTAAGCAAGCACTACTGTATCAAGTGTTGAAAGTGAGTCTTTTGAGAAAAAAAAAGGTACTATTCAAAATCAGCCCATTTAGAAATCACCACCACAAGAAGAGTTGTATAAAATTGTTTTCCATGGGTCTATTCATTAGCCATTTACAAGGACAGGAAAAACGTAACTTAAAGTTGATCTTCTATGTAAGCCCAATACAGAATTGTGGAATGAGAATGCAGAACCTTTTGAAGTCAGAAATGGAATCTTTGAGTTTGTCCAGTTTTTTTGTACAATGAAGAATGGAAATAAGAAGGCTTTAATATAACATTTTTTTATTAGGATGCATGCAGTTAAACAATATATCTCCTATTAAAACCTACCTTTTTTTTTTTTTAAACTTTTTTCTTTAATAAACTTCAGTGGTATGTTAGGGATGTAGAATAACATGATAATAGCAGGTAAACGAAATGTATTATGGTAATGCAAAGCAAGGAATTCTTACCATTTTCTTCACAACATGCATTTGAAGTCTGTTATCTCTACAGCTCCAGATGGACAAAATTCCTTCTCGCCATGCTATCACTGAAGTTATGAGCTGGATTTCCCTGATGGAAAATGTCATTCAGCAGGATGAAGAGAATATAAAAAATGTAGTAGGGCAGAAAGTCATTCAGGATTACGTCCAGAAGTACAAGGTACTGAGTGGAAATGTTATTGATTTCCCTTTTGAATTATCCCCATTAAATATGTATACATATGTAAAGTATAAGTGATTTAAGGAAAAAAACAAAACTTACATTGTGGAGTGGTTAGAATTGTACACAAGTTAGAGTTGGGTAATATTTGATACTGTGGAAAAGAAGCCAAAATTACTTTTACTCTGCTATTTAGTTATGGCAGGAATATAATTTTTAATATGTTTGCCTTAATTTCCAGGTAAATCCAAAGCAATATGCACATGATTAAACCTTATTAGATCTGTATTTCATTCAAAACCACAAAGCACTTCGCAAATTATGTTTGTTGTTTTCTGAATTCTCTGCATAATATCACCTTCTTCTCAAAGGGTAGCCTGTTCTTGAATGGAAGGTGGCCAGTGGTTTACAGATCAAGATAATTTTGATCAATATCTGAAGCAAAAATGAAAGATACTATATCTTGAGATAACTATTGAGGAGTATAGATATAACACAATTTCACTTCTTTAACTAAATCAGTAGCACTCTTGTAATAGATCTGCACACAGTGACTTTCTTTTAAATGTCAGATTTGTTTCACTAGTCTCCTGAAAAATCACTTTACTTCTTGGCTATTATTCTTCTTTGTATGTAAGAATATTTTCCACCTTATCTGTTTTTGTATTAAAAATTTTGAGACTAAAAAAAGTGAAAAAAAATAATATATACACAGTTTTTCTTAACTCTGATACTTGAGACCAATATCAATAATTTTACTGATTTGGGGGGGGCTGGGGGTAGGGGAGAAGGCAGATTCTTTATTCCAAAGGCAGTGTATTGCTGGTTTATTTCTCAATGTTTAGGACAGAGTAACAATGTTTTTAATTGCTGTTCAATTGCTAAAAAACCTTTTAGATATATTGTGGTAAAATTGTAATTTGTGAACATTTTTCCTGTCTTTTGCAGGAAGGTAAGAAATTATGGTACTTATGTTTTGGTGGTGTTTTCTCCTTCTTTTCCACTAGGGTTTCAAGATAGATTTAAATTGCAAACAATTGACGGTAGACTTTGTGAACCAATCAGTGCTACAAATTAGCAGCCAGGATGTTGAAAGTAAACGTAGCGACAAAACTGATTTTGCAGAACAGCTCGGAGCAATGAACAGACGTTGGCAAATCCTGCAAGGCCTGATAACAGAAAAGGTAAAGGAAAAAACCTAGCTGCTCTGTAGTGAATTTTCACAATACATAGAACTATAAGATAATAATGGTTGGAAGCCTCTGCAGGTCATCTAGTCCAACCTCCTGCTCAGAGCTAACTTTACAGTTAGATCAGATTACACAGGGACTTGCTTAGCTGAGTTTGAAAATCTCCAAGGGCAGATTCCACAGCCTCTCTGGGCAGCCTGTTCCTGTGCTTAACCACTCCTGTGGGGGACAAGTTTTTGCCTTGGTCCCAGTCAGAATTTCCCTTGTTGCAACTTGTGACTGTTATCTCTCCTTCTTCTGCCGTGCATCTCCAAGAATAGTCTGCCTCCATCTTCCCCGTAACTCCTCATAAGGAGTGGTCTCCAAGAATAGTCTGCCTCCATCTTCCTCGTAACTCCTCATAAGGAGTGGACAGCACAGTGAGATGCTTCCTTTGCCTTCTTTTTCCCAGGCTGAATGAAGCTAGCCTCTCCTTGTATGTCTTGTGCTCCAGCCCCCTAATGACGTTAGTGGCCATTCACCAGTTTGTCAATCTCTCCCTTGCACTGGAGGACTCAAAATGTGTCACAAGTGTCAAGGAGAAGGAAAGAACCACTTCTCTTGACCTGCTGGGTGCACTGTCAATAATATAACCCAGGACACAGTTGGCCTTCATCAGCACAAACGCACACTGCTGATTTATTATGTTCAAGTTATTGCCCACCATAACCCCTAGGTCCTTTTCTTCTATCCAGCCTGCTGCTAGCCTGTATTGTTGCATGAGGTTATTTTGTCCCAGGTGCAAGACTTTACATTTGTCTTTGCTGAATTTCTTGAGGATTGATGAGCCTATTCCTCCATCTTGTTGAAGTTTCTCTGAATGGCAACCCTACTCTCCAGCATATCAACTGCTTCTCCCAAATCAGTGTCATCTATGAATCTGCTGAATGCACAGTCCATCATGTTGTTCAGTTAATTGATGAAGGTATTAAACAATATCAAACCCAAGACTGACTCTGAAGATGCATCTTGTAAATGACTGCCAGATAGACATCAAAAACGTTCACCACTAACCTTTAAGACTGATGACTCTGGTCAGTTCATCCATTTGTAGACCTCCCATCCAGCCCATGCCTCCTCAGTTTTGCTACAAGGGTACTATGGGATACTATATCAAAAGTCTTGCTAAAGGCAAGGTAGATAACATCTACTACACTCCACTTGTCCACAGGGTCAGTCATATCATCATAGCAGAAGCAATCAGTTAGGTCAGGCACAATTTGCCCTTGGTAAGACCATGCTTGTTCCTCCTCCTTGTTCTTTATGCATGTGGAAATGTCTTCTGGTAGGATTTGCAGTATAGCCTTTTTCCAGTCACTAGCAGCTTCCTCCAACCATTGTGACCTTTTAAAGGTGACAGACAGCAGCCTTGAAATGACATTGGCACCCTCAGATACATCCTGTTTGGTTCTGTGGATTTTCATATGTCTAGCTTACTTAAGTAGCCCCTAATTCTTTCCACTTCTACCATGGCTAGTACCTCTGCCAAAATTTGTTAAATTGGCATGAAGACCTGGGAGGCATGAGAGGAGACCTTGTCAGTAAGATCAGAGCAAAGAAGGCACTGTGTACCTCGGACTATTCTGTGGTTTCCCATTAGTTGCTGATGCACTTGTGAAGAGTAACAAGAAGGGCTTCTGTCCCTCACTAGTTAGTTCTAGACTTTACTTTCCTAACATCAGCCCTGCATGGCCAGGCCATGCTTCTAGGCCCATTCTTTGTAATCCACTTTCTGTGGATTTGTCATTTTTGTGACTTGAGGAAGTTGTCCTTGAAGATCAGTCAGCTTCCTGGACTCCTTTGTCCTTCAGTACAGCTTCCCATGGGATCATGCTTACCTGAACAAACCAAAGTCTGCTATTCTAAGGATCTTTAGTCTGCTACTTGCTTGTGGCTCATTCCCTAGAGTGGAGTTTGTCTTAAGTAATGTAAATGCTTTTATGGCACTGCTGCTGTTTTCAAACTCTGCTTTGTTTTTTTTTGGTTGGTTGGTTGGTTTGGTTTGTGGTTTGTTTTTTTTTTAAGAACAGAAGTGCTATCTCATTTGCCATGGAATAACACCTAGAACAATCAGAAAAATCTAAGTAACTTTAAAGCAGTCAATTGACAACGGAGGTTGTCCTGGTTTCGGCTGGGATAGAGTTAATTTTCTTCCTGGTAGCTGGTAATATAAATCTTCATCTACTTTACACAGTTACAAGCAAGGAATATAAAATGTATGTTTGTATGCTTAGTTTTATTTGGGAAGTCCTGAGGTCCTTGATCTCTGACAAGAATTCCGCTTAATAAAAATGTTCTGCTAAAGTGTTAGCTTCTTTCAGTGTGTCGTAATATTTTAATATGTTAGCTCTATATAGTTATAGCTGGATAAAGCAGGTGTTTTATTATGAACTCTTTTACAAATAGCACATATATTTCAATTTGAATGCATATACTGTTTTTGACTTCTGAAAGCACTGAATTCCAAGAAGGCACTGGTCAGCATTGGTCTTCACTGATTTATTTAATTGACCCAACAGTAAAAGTAATTGTATGAGAAAGTGTATACTCATATTTCTTTGCAGATCCAGCTGTTGGAAAGTCTGCAGGAATCGTGGACAGAGTATGAAAATAATGTGCAGTGCCTAAAAACTTGGTTTGAAACCCAAGAGAAGAAGCTGAAACAGCAACAGAAAATTGGAGACCAGGCTTCAGTACAGAATGCTTTGAAAGACTGTCAGGTAATGTCCCCTTACAGATAACAATATTCTCTTTCCAACAGTTAGAAACAACACTTGATAAAGCTGTGTGAAATCTTCATATCAGTGAAATCAGTGACAGAACTCCCCTTTACTTCAGTGAGGGAGAGATTTCATTCCTAAAGTGAAAGCAATAAGAAAGGAGGAAGGAACAATAACGTCCCAAGGATCTTTAAAAGCAACCAAAGTCATTATTCTTTTTGCATTGTCTATTAAAGCATGGCCTTTTCCAAGCACGCCAGGCCTACTGAACTAGAAAGGCCGTCAAAGGAATATGTTCCCATTCCTGTTTACCCAGTCTTATGGAACTTGATGTCATGAACACCATGCTTGACTATTAGGAAACTTGTTTATTCTGCCTTATCACTACCTTTCCTCCGCCCCTCCTTTTTTTTCTGTTCTTTTTCCACCTGATATATTCCACCTGACTATTTAAAAAAAAAAAAGCTAGAATCCAAGGAGTTTTTATGCTTTTATTCAAAATGTGTTAGGAATCAAATTTTTTCAAATATTCAACTATGCAGAGAAGGAAATAGTGCTGGATTCCCTTTTGCTTCCAGAAAACTGAAGGAGAATCATGATTATGATGGGCAAAGACAGGATGAGGCAAAGCTCAGCTATATATAATGTACATAAGTTCAGAACCACCTCAGTTTTTCATGCAAAATTCATACAAGGACTACACAACAGTGAATAGGGTATCACAGTTGACTCTGAACATCTTACTCAGAATGGCACGCATTTAAGTAGTTAGAAGCTTGCTTCTGGAGCTGTCAGGCTAGAGTTCCAATTTATAGGTATATAAGCAAAATAGATTTTTCTGAATTTATAAACAAGGCCTCTACATGGTATCAGGCATCACATAATTTTTGCTCAAAAATATTTTGTTCTACCAGACACCAAATAATAAACTTCACACGAGATTAAATGTGTAATTAAACTCTGTCAGGACAACCTCATGCCCAAAATCTTGGTATTCTCACACCCTTAAAAAGGAGTAAGGAAGTGTGTTTATCTTGATGTGGCTGTCTTTCCTGCATGCATTTAGTGAATGGGATGAATATGATCTAGCTTTTAAGTCTTCACAAACAGAACAGCTGGAAGTTTATTCAAATGAAATGCATAAGAGAATTTAATCTATATTCACCAGTGTATGAAACCCATCTTTGTTTCTGTAAAGGCAAATAGTTGTTTAGGCCAGATATGTTAGAAGTCAATTTTTTTTCCGAAGTTCTTGACCTAAGTTTTCAAACTGGTTGCAGTGCTTAGTTTCAGTCCAGCTATCTTTATGGTTTCAGCACAATAAGCCCATATGACTGAAGCAAGAGTAATTTAGCATAACCTGACATAATCGGCAGGCTGTGCTTGGCTGGAGTTCAAAGCTGAAACTGATTTATCACCTTTATGGTTCCTTTTGGTCAGGGAAGTTAGCAAATACACTTGGGGAGTCAGTTATAAATGGCAAGACTTTGATCAGCAGAGAAACAAATTGTTTAAGAAATAACTGTATCAGACACTCCCAGGTATCCGGTTCAACTAGTACAAAAGCTGCAGTTTATTTATTAACCGATGTTAGTTGCTGCCTAGTGTCACATTAATAAATGAAAGCAACCACTTTTTCCCATCACAGATCAGAAACAGTAATGTGTCTTTAATTTGGTTATGAGTTTAACATGATGAATAAGAAACCCCCTTTCACAGAAAACCAGAAATATTTGCTATTTTTGGTGTTTGAAGATTTTGCCTGTTTCACATTCTGAATTTTGGAGCAACCTTGTACAAACTTAAATGCCTTTTTAGTGTTAAAATCCACTTTTTGGAAAGTCAAATTCACTATGTACAACTTAGAAGTGTTTGCTTTGGTGTCAGCTGCTAAAAAAACGATGTATTACTCCAAGGCTGTAGTCTGGAACAAGGTCATGGCTAGAAGTTTGAAGAAATGTGAAATAATACAGAAGAAAAGGCTAAGAATAAACAGTACAGCAAAAATGCTCTCACATATATGTATATAGACAAAAGTGTGTTGTATGTATGCAGGGATAAATTCTGTTAACAGCAAGTGTTTGCAAGACTGGGCAGAATTTGGTTCCAAATACTCTCCCCACTACCTAAAATGTAAAGTCTGTTATGGCAGGGGGGGGTTGTTTGTTTTTGTTTGTGTGTTGTTTTGTTCACTTGTTGTTGTGGTTGCTGTTGTGATTCTTAGGGAGAGTAATATATTGAAAGACACGGGTTTTCAGTTTGCCCAGAGTTTTGTTGTGTTGTTTTCTTTCCCTGATGACCCATCTCTCTCAGTAAGGAAAGGCCTGCAGAAAATTAAAGTATAACCTTAGATCACAAGATGTACTCCTTAATGTAGAGACATCCCAAGATTGCTCTCACCTCATAGTGTGCTTTCCATATCACACTGACTACTTTATCTCCAGACAGGTAAACACAAATTTGTGCTGGCCTAAAGCCTACAAGCCATACTTCCCACCTCTGCTCAGACTCAGTGTTTGCACTACCTGAAGCTATGCATCTTCCACACGAGTCAGAGCACTGCAGGACTTTCTTGGATCTCCCTGCACCGTGCCATGAAATTATATAGGCAGTTTCCTTGCTAGGAATGAGCTTATGGGAGCGTGCTGTATGACTCACAGTTGCTCACCGAGTCGTCTTGTTCTCTGTCCTTCATTTTGTAACTTCATTCTCATGCTATTGAGGCATGAGCAAGATCACAGGCTTTGTGACTAGCAAATGTTACGTACCAGAGATTCTGCACTTCACTTATTGATAAAACTGGCAAACTTGAATCAGCATTTCCATGACCAATCTAGGGTCATCTTAAATCAACAACACAGTCAGCACTTGCCTGAAGCAGCAAAACAAGCCACTAACAAGTTGTCATGGCCTCAGTGCTTATGTACTCAGCCCTGTTTTCTTCACTTGTTTTCACGCCAACTGTTCATTTTCTTCCCATTTTCTTGGGTTAGTCTGTGGGAACGCTGAGCAGAGCAAAATGCTATCGAGCTCATTAATGCTTCCTAATGGCATGCAACCTTGAGGAGGCAATAAGGAAAATTCCTGCAGCCTGTTGCTTGTTGTCATTGGCTGGACTCCAATGAACTTGTCATCTAGGGGAAGGCTCGCTGTCCTCAGGCAAGGGGCTTTGCTGGGACCTGGCAAAGGAATAAAGACTCCACTTCATGTGGGGAGGCATGGCAAATTGACATCTTTCCCTAGGAAGTCATTTTGTCCTTTTCCTTGGGTGGCAAAATTCATTTTTTTCCAGAGGCTTGAGCCAGCTCTGGACTAATTAAAAAGCCTTCTCAGTGTTCTAGGACAAAATAAGACACACAACAATTTTCCCATGTATTCAAAATGCTGTCCTATTTTTAACGAGTTTTGGACTCTTACATGAGAGCAGAAGATTACACAGAAGTTTAATGTAGAGGACATGCTTCTATTTAAATTAAAGACAAATAACTGTGCTTTAAAGGGAACATAAAATATTAAATAAAATTGCTGATGAGTTATGATTCTCTCGAGAATAAAAACCTGAAGTATGTAAGTGTGACTGTCCTATTATTTAAACTAAGGAGCTTATAGGCATCTTTTCTATCTCAGGGCGTTATCTATCCAATTAAACAAACAAAAATACTCAGGTATCTTCTTTTTCTTTTCAGGAATTAGAAGAATCAATAAGAACAAAGGAAAAAGAAGTAGAAAATGTAGAACAGAGTGGTCTTTCTTTGATACAGAACAAGAAGGAAGAAGTCTCTTCTGTTGTTATGAATACACTGCAAGAAATTAACCATTCCTGGGCCAATTTGGATCACATGGTAAAAGAATCATCAAGGGGCAAATTATAGCTCCAGGAATAGAGCATGGAGAAGGAGAATTAGCAGTTTGCAACTAGTGGATTTCTCCTGTATTGTAGGGGAAGAGATTCTGAATTGTGTCCCTGTTTCCATCCATCCCCAAGTTTGTGTGTACACTCCACATAAAATGGGTATAATGTTTCCTATTTCAAGGATGCTTTTAATTCTTGTAATTGAAGCTTTTTAGATGCTTTCTGATATTTAGTGGAAAGGTACCAAATGATCTGTAAGGAACTACCTTTTCAAGCACACAGGTCTTGCAGAGTAAGGAAGAGATCACCATTAATTGTCATCAACCGAAGCTTGATAACACCAGTTCGCCTTCTCAGGAGGAATGCAGCGTGTTAGTGCTAGCCTCTCTGCTGACATTCATAGGCTGACTTGCCTGCCTTAGGGATACATGTTTCATAGTCTTAAGCAATTTCCTGCTTTGGACCAAAGTAGAATGGACTTGATACCTTCTCAGTCCCTGCCATCCTAGCTTTATAAAATCGAGCAGAACTTTATGCTGTACCCAGTGTAAGCCCAGCTGATTGTTGTGCAAAATCTTCGTTCTCCAAAAGATTTAAGATTAGGCATGTAGAACAAGTAGTATCTGAGATCAAAAGGAAGGAAATAATTTAAACGAAAACCAAATATCTTGAATGCTTTTCATTTACTTTTTTTTTTCCTTCCTCCTAGGTTAGCCAACTGAAGATACTGTTGCAATCTGTTCTCGATCAGTGGAGCATTTACAAAGTGGCTTATGAAGAACTGAATAGCTACCTGACAGAAGCCAGATATTCTTTGTCCCGTTTTTATCTTCTTACTGGTTCTTTAGAAGCTGTGAAAGTCCAAGTTGATAACCTTCAGGTGAAAAGAATACCATGCCTCTTGACATACTAAGGATGGATTTGAGGATTAGTTTTGTCCTCATTGCACAGATGCAGATAACTATACGTTTTGGTTCATAAGAAATGGAAGTACGGACATACTGGCACATTAAAATCACATGACATTAAGAGAACACATTATCAAATAGCCATTGCATTTTTCATTTTCCAGAAAAATAAAATGGTGATAGTTGTTTTCTTTTTAGATTTCTGATGCTGTTATTTAAATTTCGAGCCGTACTGTTAAATCGTTAAAAGTTTTTAAATCATGCTGGTGACCATTAATACTAAAGTTTCTCACTCTGCTTTGTCAGACTTCTGAGTTACTGGCACATTTTGAGATCACATTTTAAACCCCTCCCCGCCTCAACCCTGTGGTTGCAGTAGATTGAAGATCAAAGAAAATAATGTTCCAAAAGCTGAGATGCTCACATGTTCAAGTGGTTTTCCACTGTAAGAAAAGCATAAGATACAATGAGACCCCTGTTATAAAATTCTAAATTAGTATTAATTGAAATAATTAAATTAAAAATTACTGAAATTATTGTTCTATTACATAGAATAACCTTTTATTTCAAAGAAAGTTATTGTCTTTGGAATAAAAAATAATTATGCAAACATTTCCAGATGCTTAAAGTAAACAAGAACTTGTGTTGTTAGTATTTGCCAGCAAATTTAAGTTTACATTATCATGTAAATATTTTCTGTGATTTGACATCCAGACAGATATAAAGCCAAATGCCCTAAGCATGAACAGCACTTTTCAAACCAAGATTTAAAGAGCATCCATTAATGCACTTTACAACCACTCTTCTATGTTTTCATTTTTTTATGTGTCAGAGGAGGAGTCAGTAAAACAATAGGTACAGAAAATGACTTTTTTTTGCTTATTAAGATTTTGATTATACTGTTTAATCAGGTTGAAATTTGCTGGGCTGCTCAAACTGTAATAATATGCATAAAAATATTTAAGGTTAAAAAAAAAAAAAAGGAGCATTTTCCCTGCCAGCAGTACTTCAGACTGATAAATGAAAGAGCAAGAACCTTATTTTCAGAATAAAGCTTTTTTTGTGCTGTTACTTTTTTCATCTCATTCTAAACAGGAAAATGTTATTTAATTTATTTTCTTCCATCAGTTAAGTTTTAATTTCTGAAGCAGTTCCATGCACTTACTCCTTCTGTGCAGGAGTACTTGTTTAGAATAATTTCTTTTACAAGATTTTTACAGACTAGGTTAAAATTTAATTTTTGCTACACCTTGGTATTGAATCAAATTAATCTAACGACAGTCTTTATATTAAACAACCTTCTATTTAGATGAAACACACATGAAATCAAGTTTTGCATTCATAACCTGGATGATGTAATTGATACATACTATTTTGATACTCTTTGTATTATTATTATTATTATTACTACTACTATTATTATTATTATTATTATTATTCTATCTGTTTTAGAGCCTACAAGATGAATTGGAAAAACAAGAAAATAGCTTACAGAAATTTGGTTCTGTGACCAATCAATTATTGAAAGAATGTCACCCACCAGTGACTGAAACACTTACCAACACTTTGAAAGAAGTGAATATGAGGTAGAAAATGTCTGTGTGTTGAACTTTACTTTCAGTGGTAAATTTGCATTTATCCATTGACCCAGTTTTCCATCACTTCTATTTTTGTTATATTTTATTATTCTATGGTTTCAGGGGTTTGGCGGGCTTGTGGGGGAGGGTGGGGTTATTCCTTTTGCCAAGGGCTGGAGCAGAACTGTCTCATTTACTACTAATAATAAATGAAATATTATTTTCTTCAGCAAAGCATTTGGACATTACTGTCAGTAATTTTGCTCCATGTGTGGCTGCCAGCCAAGATTCATAAATACCATGCTGAAAATAATACTGCACTTAACATGCAAGAATCCTGTCTAAAAATTTTTTTTTGCTATGCATGCACCAGGCTCCCCAGATTTTAGGTTGCTATTTCTAGTTGTAGGAAGGGCATGATAGGCAAGAAGGTCTAAGCCTTCACTAGTAGCTTGGCAAACAGCTTCACCAACTTTGAATCCAGGCCAGAACCAGTGTAAGGGTTTACTCAGAGAAGCTACAGAAAAGCAGGATCCAAAAGCAAAAACTAGTTTAGTGGAAAGTTGGGTTGTTTGGGATTTTTTTTGAAAACACAATCATGCCAAATTTATTTTAATCCGTGGTCCATCCTGTCCTAGAATCTGGAAGTGGAGGGAGGGATTATTCACCCCATTTCAAAAAAGATACTGTAGGATTGAACAGTTTCAGTGATGACTGATGGAATTTTCACTTCACCATTTTTATCACATAATAATAATTGAAAAATACTGTGATTTCCTTTGGTAAGTAAATAATGAGGCAATTTGATAAATACCAGCACATTTGAGAAAGTACATGTTTCTGGTTGCCATTAGAGCCAAGAATTCGAAGCAGGATTAGATATTTATTTGGATAATAAAAATATAAAGAGTTTTAATAGGTCTGGGAGTATTTTAGAAGAGACTTAGACAGAGCTTGATGGCTGTAAATATTCTGTCAGGGTTTGGGAGGAAATGGCAGCAGAAGAAATGGTTTCTTGTTTACACCTGTTTTGGGCCTCTTAGGCCCTTGCAGGAATCTGGTACTGGCAGTTCACGGTCGGTCATGGATGCTCTGTGCAGTGAATCAAAGTGTGCTACGTGGAAATAGCAGGAGGTTCGCTTCAAAAAGTGCACTCCAGCTCTGACCTCAAGCATTAATATATGGCATCCAAGATGTAGCACAGATCAGACCTGCTGTGGCAGGTCAGAACAGCCTGTCAACATATTTCTTGGATTCCTTTTTTTTTCCCCAAATGTCTGGAGCTTGATTATTACCAAATTTCTTAAAAGCCAAAAGACCATGGAAACAGCAGAGAGAAAAGAGGGACAGGGATAGTTCTTGTGGACTCCCAGGTTTCGATCATTAATCCAATCTCTTCACCAGGTGGAACAACCTCCTGCAGGAGATTGCAGAGCGGCTGCGTGCCAGTAAGGGCCTCCTTCAGCTGTGGCAGAGGTACAAGGACTGTTACCAGCAGTGCTCTTCCACAGTCCGTCAGCGGGAAGACCAGACCAATGAACTCCTGAAGACTGCCACCAGCAAAGACATTGCTGATGATGAAGTTACTACTTGGATTCAGGACTGCAATGTATGTTCAGTTAAGCTTTGCAGTTTTTCACAGCTCTGTGGGCTAAAAATCACAAGAGGCTCTCCTTTACTGAACTCTGTACTTGGTGTATTGGAAACTTGTATGCAAACACATTTCTCTTTCCTGTGCCTGAGATGCATCAGTAGAGACAGCTTTACGTCTGCTACCCAAATCTCATGAGTTTCTCATACTTTTCATGTGATCTCTCCATTACTTGTTGTGGTGTTGTTTCAGAAGCTTGTATCTGAAGTCATCTCTCTGGAGAAGGTGGATAAATTATATCATTTGATTCAGTCTATAGTCCCTGCTTATCGAAGGGATTCTTGCTTGGGAAAACAATTCTATCAAATCTATTGAGTTCCTTACAATAGAAAGAAACACAAGATCCTTTGACTGTATTGCCACCAATCAAGGCTGTTCTCTTTTTCTGAATGAAAAAAGACCGTGTTTGTTCTGGGGATGTCTTTATCCTTCCTTATGGAAGGACGCCATTCACTCTGAAACCTTGAGAATTCTTCCTTTTTCAAAACTGTATCTCAAGGCAGCAGGATAGTTTATCTCCTATTTGTGGTTACATTTTGGTTCTTTTGAGTTTAAGTTAATGTTAAGTGTCATTGACAAAAAAATTAAAATGTTAATTGTCTTAGTGTAAGCAAAACAATCGCAAGGAGTAAAATGAACACAGTAATGAGCTTTTTGAGCATTTGCTGCCATAGTCATCTGGACTGGCAATTAAAATTGTTCAGTTCAAATAATTTCTTCACTTCCTGATGTCCCATTCTTTAGCCATTATGTTAGGCCATTTACAAAAGTTTTTTTTTTTATCCCTCCTGATAATTCATAGCAGGAAAAAAAGGGAGGTCTAGTCAGACCTGAATCGACCCACAGGGAGGGCTGCCACTGCTTAGGACCAGCATGCCAGTAGATTCAAAAGGTTTGTTTCAACAAGTACTGCCTCATCGGTAACTTGGGCTTGCTCAAAGGTAGCTGAGCAGTCAAGTGCTTTCTGTTCCTCTGTGCACAGGTACTTTGAGATATTCTTTTATTCTGCACATCATTTCCTTTTCATACAGAGTGTGAGTGGACACTTGGCATTGAAATACTGTAGTAAATGTAAGTTTTTCATATAGTGGTGGAGTTCGGTCATTTCACTCCTTTAAATCAGGGGAGGATGACATCAGCAGAGTGTCAGGTTAGCTATTCATATCTTTATTCAATGTGTTGCCACAGGATGTACTCACGGATTTGAAGACAGCAAAGGAGTCGCTAGCTGTTCTTCAAGAACTGGGAGAGGAGCTAAAAGGCCAGGTGGAGGCTGCAGCAGCAGCAGCTATACAGTCTGATCATCTTTCTCTGAACCAGAATCTGTCAACCCTAGAACAGGCTCTCTGCAAGCAACAGGCTGTACTTCAGGTATGCAGAGAGTGTTTCCAGTCCTTGAATCTGATCATCCCGTGGTACCTGAAAACACATAAATTAGCTAAAACTGCCTGGGAAAAGAGGGTGGTGTTACCTGTTCATCAGCATTTCCTAGACTTCCCTGGAAGCCAAAGCTGAGAGTAGAAAATATGCTCAAGTCCAGCATAGAGACCTTGTAAGAAGGTCCAAATCCTGGGAAGAGGATAGCAAACCTCATGGAGGAAAGTGTCTATCTGGAATGCCAAGGGCACCACGCTTTCTGTGGACAGCAATAGTGCTAACAGCTGGATCCACAGCTACTGCTCCCCTGAAGACAACTTCTTTTCCCAGCTAGTTCTTTAGCAGTAAAACAAATTAAGAGATTCTGAATAATTGTGTAGGATTTATTTTTACAGTTCCTATTAATGTCAATGACCAGGCTGACACCTACCATTTGTGTCAAAGCCTGTTCAGTAGATGTTGCTAATTGCTTGTGTCACCAGGGACTAAAGAGCAAAAAAAGAAAGGCAGAATGTTTTCCATAGGAAAGTATATGGGTGAGAAAGCAACAAAGGTAGTGGCTTCTCTTTGGGTGACGAGGATTTACCCAAGAAATCCAGCATTGTCTAGAATGTGCTTATAACGTTTTGTCTCCTCACAGCACAGTGATGTAAGAGAAGTTTTTCATTTCAAACTGCAATAATAGCAACTAGTGGTTCTCTCTGCTGACAATAAATTAAGCAGAGGAGTTAGTTTTATAAAAGGAAGTCAGAGAAGGTTATCTATTTCAAGGCAAGGAGATATTTATTTTGTTGAAGTGTTGCCTTTTTGCTATGATCAAAAATCCTCTGTTCTAACCTAAAAAAACTCCAATAATTCCACAGTCTGTGAACAAAGCAGCAGTTACAATTGCTCCTAGCCTATACAGCTGTTCGCAAAGCTATAATGAGAATCTAATGTAGCTACAAGACTGTAATGTCAATATGGATGCTGTGTGGCTGAAGTTCTTAAACTGTGGGTCCTTTTCTATTCAAGGCTGGAGTGCTAGACTATCAAACCTTTGCCAAGAACCTACAAGTCCTTGAGGCCTGGATAACAGAAGCAGAAGAAATATTGAAAGGACAGGATCCCAGTCACTCATCTGATCTCTCAGCAATACAGAGTAGAATGGAGGAACTCAAGGTGACTTATAAATGCAGAAAGTGTTGATTTTTTTTCTGTTAGCCTGGTTATTTGTAGTACAGGGTATGCACAAATATCATACATGCATTCTATACATATTAAAGGACTGTCACTCATGCAAAGTCTAAGACTGAGAACTTAGGAGTTTGGTGGCAGTCAAGGAGTGATTGTCCATGTTACTTTGCCCCTGAGTAAAGAAGAAAAGGACAGGCAAACTGTTTAGAATAAAATTAATATCAAATCAAAATGGGAAAATGGGAAATGAAAATTTTCCATCAAAATGGAAATTTTAGCAGTTTTTGGAGATTTCCTTCATCTTGTTTTCTCTCCACTTTTTTGAATTTATGCAATTCCTGTCTCAGTGGTATTTGGTTTAGGGATGAAGTCATCTATTCATTTTGGATATCTTGATATACTGAAGAAACATTCATACTGTGTACCGTGTGATCTCCATTTGAGCTCTTTCACTCTTTCTTTTTGTGGGGCTTTTTTTTTTCCCCTCTTCTTCTTTCGGAGGCCCTGACAGGAAGGTGATGAATTTTGCTATCTAGGCTAGTTTTGTCATTTTAATCTTCCATTATTTTTCTATCAGGATTAACTTTACACATAATTCCACTTTGGGCATGCTAAAAACCAGGATGTTTTCCTAACATAGTGAATTGGATATGTCTGTATTGCAAAACAAAAAACTAAAAATAAAAAGTTGAATAAGTTCAATGGGAATTTGCCAGCCTAGCATTCAGGCTAAGAAACAAGAAAAAAGGCTCACTTTTTTGACAATATAAACATAAGGCTTCAAACAGTAGCCTACTTTTGCAGCTCTGAGTGGTAAAACCCCAATTCAGCAAAACACTTCAGTGCAATTTGAGTTTACTCCTCTGTGCACGTTTGAACGTGAATGTAAATCTTCTCCTGGTCTGGGACCAGAGGTTGAAAACCAGAAATGCAGTTTTTCCCTGGCATAGGGATCGCTTGCCACTTGGTGGCAACCAAGGCCGTTCCAAATTTAACTGAGTGCTAGTTCATAATTTTGCAGTCTATAATAGTGTAATTACTGAACTTCTAGTTATCACTTTTATTGTTTGTTGCAGAGTCAGATGTTGAAGTTCAGCAGCATGGCCCCAGATTTGGACCGTCTTAATGAACTGGGTTACAGGCTTCCTCTGAATGATAAAGAAATCAAAAGGATGCAGAACCTGAACAGACATTGGTCTCTGATCTCATCTCAGACTACAGAGAGATTCAGGTGGGGATAGTTAAAGATTGTTGTATAGTTTTCTTAGATTACAACAGCTAGAAAGTATACCATTTGCAGAATATAGAAAATGTTTCAGATATTTTATTAATCAAAGCTCCTCTTCTTTGGTGTACTTATAAGTAAAGAGCGAAGCCAGTGAGTTGAGATGTTGGTTTTGCCATAAATTAACAGAATTTGAAATGAGGAAGACTGCCACTTTTCAAAGTCTTGACTAAATAAATTGAAAGAGGCAGCTGAGTGAGAAAAGTGTTACCATCTGATTTGGAATTCTGCTGGACAAGTTACTGCAAGACTCTTAGCACTGTGTGTGAGAGGAGACCTTACCTGAATCCATCTTTCTTTCTTTCTTTCAGTAAGCTGCAGTCTTTCTTGCTGCAGCAGCAGACCTTCTTGGAGAAATGTGAGACTTGGATGGATTTATTAGTTCAGACTGAGCAGAAGCTGGCGGCAGAGATTGCAGGAAACTACCAGAGCCTTTTAGAGCAACAGAGGGCACATGAGGCAAGTCATCATGTGTATTTATACATAACTACAACGTATACTATTTCTACACGAATGGAATGCACGTTCTTTTGTGGAGTAATGTAATAGTATGCCTTGAATTGAATTATACTTGCCTGCACCGTCTGAGGATATCTTAACTTAAAAACCGAAGCATGCCAATATGTCAATAATACCCAGTTTGGAGGAGGACTTGAGTATCTGTCTGCATTTGTGTACAATGTATCAGTATGCCTATGAGTGCTTGTCCCCTACATTTAGTCTACTTGAGATTGGTTTGTACAAAGGAAATCAAAGTTTGTATTGGTCTTCCCATAGAACCTAACTATTCTCATGCAGTTTGGCCCTTTCTCTTCAGTCCTAGCTGGAGAAAATTTCTGTTCTTTCAGTTTATTCTGATTTTGTTTATTTGTTATTAAATTGCCAACTTATACAGCATCTGAAGAGCACGTAAAAGGAAGGCTTTTCTGTCAAATACTGAGTTATATAACTCATCGTGGGGCCTCCATTTGGTGACATTTGCTTGGAGAACAAACTGATTTGATCTTTGCTGTGTTCTGGAGTCATTTGTCTGTCTGTAACAAATCAAGAACTAGCCCAGCTTTTGCTGCAGGGAAGAAGTGATTCAGAGTTTTTACTAGAGGATGCCTTTATGATTCTTCAGTGAAGTCACGTGATGCACATTTTTTCTCCACCCGTATTGTTACTGCCAAGAATCCTGGTAAAGATCAAGTAAGATAAGTCAATTTTCATGCCAAAGCTCCCATGCGGCCACAGTAGTTTCAGTTCCCACAACTTTTTCAGCTGACCTACCATAGACTTAGGCCAGCTCATAGGGACAGTCATGTCCTTCCCCCCTCTTGCCTCTCACAGCATAGTGTTTGGATGAACTACTGTTGTTGTGTCCAGTCATAGCTATAACTTTTTGAAAGGGGTTAATGGCAATCTTCTTGCCTTCAGTTGTCTTGAGATCTCAGCTTAATTCTCTCCTGAAACCTTGATCTGAGCAGTTAGCTCAAATGAGTGTTACTCAGGCACTCTGAAGCTTTTTTTTTATTACAACTATAAAGTCATCTCTCAGAATTTGAAGAACTAATATCTGATTTTCTAAATACTGCAATTCATCCTAAGAAAATGTTGTAAACTGCATCTTTTTGTTACCTAAAGCTTTTTAGCATTTTATATAATCTAAACGTATTCAGTACTCAATGTTCTTTGCAGTGCCTCCTGATACTCATGAAGAATTTTCTTTCCACTCCTCGCAGCTGAAAGGGTCAAATCTAAACTTCTTGCGATGACTTTCCAGATTCTTTTTGCTTTGTATTTTTGAAGATAATGAGAAAATATTCCGTTTCCACATGCATTCCCAGAATGGATATTGAAATGCCTCCAGCTCTGTTATCAGATTTCCAGTGCTGACTCATAACTTTGCTGGTGTTTATTCAAAGAGGACCCCAGCTACCTCAGTGGCCTTATTTAGAAATAACTTCCCACTGAAATTTACAAACCAGCAACATGGAGGTAATACCTTTCTCAAATATCATGCACTAATGCTGGCATCTGCATCAGATAAGTCTGTCAGGACAATCTTGTAGTCATTCTTGCGCAATTCTCCAGATATCCATTTGGAAGCCTGGTACATTGCTTGAGACTCCCGCGCAGTGGGAATGCACGGAGACAAGCCTTTGAGAAAATGCTGGCAGGGGAAGGGGAAGCTCCTTTCCAACTCAATTACTGAATTTTTTTCCAGTGTGCTGGTGTTGTGCATTCCAACACCTGCCTTCCTTTCCTTCTCCTTTGAATTCCCATTTCTGTGGTTCATAGTGATCTACATATGAGAAGAAATTGGGGTGGCAAGTGGTCCCACATAACGGAGTATTCCTCTTATGTGCAGAGACAGTGTACATGTGGAGAGCAAGTGGATGTTGACAGAAATGTCTCTGCTTTTGGGTAGGGCTTGAATAGCTCCACTCTAGCAGAGTTCCTCATGCTTGATAAGCTTTTGTTTTACCTGTTCTCTTAAAAAAATATTGTCACTTTTGGGGGATTTGGTTTTGTTGGTTTTTGGTGGTTGGTGGTTTGTTTTTTTTTAACCAGTTGTGTTCTGTTTAGTCTCCATCTGTCAGCAATGCTGGTAGAAGCTGTTGCCTCCTGTGCTTCATCCATGCCCCCTAACTTGACAGAAATAGATATGACAGGAAGTAAAATTTCTGCCTTCTTGCTCAGCTTTCTAAAATTCTCAACCCCACAGTACTGTGGTTTTGTTCATGAGATAATAGAGCAATTAGTTTCCCTCTGGTTCAGGCTCAGTCATTCATAAGAGCCAAGGTATTCAAAGAACACTATCAAATACTTCTGCAAGGAAATTAGACCACACTATTTCTTTCTATGGGAAAATTTATGACCTGGGTAACATTTTCAAAATTAACTCAGTGATTCAGAGAGGCAAAAACTAATTTTGAAAAATTAGTCCATCGTCTAGAAGTCCTAAGCTACATACAATGAGCTCGAGGGATTTAATTGTGCAGGTGCCAATGGGTATTTTGCTGGCAGTTGCAGATGCAGGGATTGGTACATCACAATTTGAGCTGGTGGGAAGCTATATAACAGGGGTGTAGCCTGGATTTGGGGAACAGTGGCTCTCAGTTCAGGCAAGGGTGAACTTCTATCAACTGCAAACACCATTACTAACAAAAGAAAAAAAAAATCTCAAGCTTCATACCAGTACACTTTCTCTTTTAATCTCTCGGAAAACCTTTTGAACATGGAGTGGGTCCAGTCCTGAGCTGACGCCTGGGTGTACCTTCATCAACATAAGAATATTCCTGAACAACCTTATCTAGAGACATGGTCCATTACTAAAAGAAAAGATGTTTTTCAAAATAAATTTAAGTAGTATATATTTAAGTCATCTTTGCTTAAGTAGTTCTTAGGTAATTTTTGTCTTAAGTAATATTTAAGTAATAAGGGAGTTTTAAAAGTATTGTGAAAGTTTATTGTGACTGATGGGGAAAATTGGAAAATAAATTGGAAAAATTAGAAGTGGAAAATTGATTTCTAGCTCCTACACATGGCTGACCATTTCTTTTAAAGTTCTGTTGGCAATGTAAAATTGTTAAAAGTTTGTGTATAATGCTATCACACACAATCTGTGCATAAATTCAATTTAACAAGGCAAAGGACTATAATATTCTTAAACATGTCAGAAAATAAAAAATGCCCTTTTCTGTCCATGCAGTAAGTACCCTATCTGGATTTTGTTGTAAATTATAGTGCCAATCACACAATTGTACTCAGAGACATAAAACCTAGCTCCTGTTGATATTATTTAGCTTTTTAATAGTTTTTTTTTAAATCTCAAGTAACTAATTACTAGAAACAGCAAGTAACTCCAGCAATGAGATTTTTAAATGTGTTTCTATTTAAGTTCATGATGAAACTCCCATTGAATTAATTTGAAATGAGATTAAATACTTGAAAATTCATTTTTACCAGTGCATATAGAACACACAATCAGTGCAGAAATTCAATTTAACAAGGCAAAGGACTATAATATTCTTAAACATGTCAGAAAATAAAAAATGCCCTTTTCTGTCCATGCAGTAAGTACCCTATCTGGATTTTGTTGTAAATTATAGTGCCAATCACACAATTGTACTCAGAGACATAAAACCTAGCTCCTGTTGATATTATTTAGCTTTTTAATAGTTTTTTTTTAAATCTCAAGTAACTAATTACTAGAAACAGCAAGTAACTCCAGCAATGAGATTTTTAAATGTGTTTCTATTTAAGTTCATGATGAAACTCCCATTGAATTAATTTGAAATGAGATTAAATACTTGAAAATTCATTTTTACCAGTGCATATAGATAGAATTAAAATGTAAGATTTTGTTTTAACATCCTTGTCTCCTGTACAACAGCTATTCCAGGCAGAGATGTTCAGCCGCCAGCAGATTTTGCATTCAATTATCTCTGATGGGCAGCACCTCCTAGAACAAGGACAGGTGGATGACAGGTAGACATTCCTGTGTTGTTGCTGCTGCTGGTTATGTGAAGTAATACTTAAGAGTAGTGGGGGACTTCCAAACAGAGAAGGTAGCAGATGTCAGCGTTCAGATCATGCTCTTCTGAGGTAGAAGTTACTATCGCTGTGGTTAAGCTATTAATTAGCCAGTTCTTAAATAAGACAGTGTTCTTTAGGATGCTATGGGGTATGTGATGTGTGAATGCATTTGGGAATACAACAGCCTTGAGACTGCTTCTCTGACAAAGATTTGTCTTGAATTATCAAGCATGCTAGATATATGTCTATTTTGCTGTACTTTCAAAATGTCACTTTCACCAAAGGAGCCTGCAGTGACAGATTTAGTGAGTTACACTTGATTTTTGCCAGCTGGGGATTTGCCTCTACCAAGAGGATTCCCTACTGCCATTTAAGAACACCTGCAGCCTAAATGTGATGGAATAGGAATTCATTGCTGTCTGAGATTTTATTTTAAACACTTGTGGTCAAATGAATGAAAATCAGTGAAACACCAGTGGCTTCACACTTCTGCATATGCATTGACTTTGCTAAGGTTATCGTGGTCCTAATATAAGATGAACTGTTTATTGGGATGTGAGAATTTTGTTAATGCTGTGTATATCTTATGCTTGCTTTGAGCTCAGTAGTAAATCTGGGCGTGAATTGTGAAATCTCCATGATTTACTATGAATTTGGCTAATCCAAACTGGCAAAACCTGTGGGTTTTCTTTGTATATTTCTGGGGAGAAAGTAGAAGAGTTTTGTGTGTTAAAGGTTTGGGTTTTTAAGGTCTCGATAATTGGAGCCCTTTGATTCTCCCGGTACAGGAAGTGTGACGTTCTCATCGTCAGTCAGCTGTCATGAGACTTCAGTGCTTTTCTCCTAGTGTTTCATAATTGACAGCCAGAAAACATCTTCCCTTTCCCTTCAGTTTATTTCATTAAACAAATAGATCAAAGTATGAAGGTTGCTATGTATTTTTATTTATTTATCTATTTATAATAGGGATGAATTTAATCTGAAGCTGACTCTTCTAAGTAATCAATGGCAAGGAGTAATTCGCCGGGCACAGCAGAGGAGGGGGATCATTGACAGCCAGATTCACCAGTGGCAACGCTACAGGGAGATGGCAGAGAAGCTGCGCAAGTGGCTGGTGGAAATATCCTGCCAGCCAGTGAGTGAGCTGGGCAATGTTCCTATCCCATTGCAGCAAGCCAGAGCGCTACTGGATGAAGTGCAGGTATGTCCAGTGTGTTTGAAGAAAGCGGGAAAAAAACCCCGCCCTTTTTAGAGCCTTCATCATTTAAAGCATTCTTAAAAATGTATTAGATTCAAACTATCTGCTTTGCAGAAAGCAATATTGGGTGTTAGTTCTTCTTTGTAACTGGCACAGCCTCAGAAGCAGCACTGTGGTGGAAACGAAGTTGGAGTTCATAAAGAACATGCAATGGAGAACTTACTGGGCCCTCTCTCTCGAGCCTTGTTTGCTTCTGGTTTTGCTTTATAGCTAATGTCACACTGAAACTGTCTTGAAAAAAACAATGATGTCCTGTTTGAGGAATGTATTCTAGCTAACAAAAAAGGATACCTTGAGGGTCCATCTTCATGCGAGGTTAACAGTATCTGTTTTGCAGCTTGGTGTCTTCAAGCTTTTTGGCTGGAAGATACATATAATAATAAAGCTTATAAGCATAATAGGCTCTAGAGGAACTATTTCTCTTTAAGAGCAATTGAGATACTGGTACCAGTGGGGAGAAAGAAGTCTTTCATGTCTTCATCTCCTTGGAGAAATTTTCTAAAGGTCTGCTGCAGTAAATGATTCTGAAAAGGTTAGGGTAAAGCATTTGGGCAGTAGCGCATGCTTAAGCCAAGGTATGTAATCCATTAAAGTATGAGCTTGAGAATGAATTATACTGAATTGCTAATTGTAATTAAAAAGACAAAGCTGACAGAAAACTGTTAATATTTTCAGCTTAAAGAGAAAGTTCTCCTAAGGCAGCAAGGGAGTTATATCCTCACGGTGGAAGCTGGGAAGCAACTGCTGCTCTCTGCTGACAGTGGAGCTGAGGCAGCCCTGCAGACAGAGCTTACCGAAATTCAGGAGCGCTGGAGGATAGCTAGCACCCAACTGGAGCAACAAAAGAAACAGCTTGCTTTACTACTGAAAGTAAGTGTGTGATTTCTTCTGTACTTCTTCAGCAATTTCATGGTTTCTCACTGTGAATCCTGTTGAAGAAAAGCATTCTCAAGGGATAAATACAAATACAGGAATTGCATATACGCTACATGAGCTCACGATTTCATTTCACCACCTCTGAAACTAGGAGTAGTAATACTTCACAGTAGGCTTGTATGTTAGTTGATATCTTTTAACTGATATTTCTGGAACACTGCCAATAAAGGATATTCCTACCAGTCTCATTTTCAACATAGAACAAAAATTTATTTTATTTTGCACAATGCTGGTTAATTTTTATACATGCTGTATTGAAAATTAGACCTGCCTTATTCCCTCTACATGCCAATGTCAAGATTTATCTAGCAATGTAGTAGTCTGTGTTTCCTTCCAGTGTCTTGAGTATTTGCTAGTTTAGATAAACTTCTGTGATCTTGGAGAAGGGAGCCTTGAACTTTATTTTGAGTAAGCAATGTCCAGAATGCCTGCTAACCTCACTTTAAGTACTGAAGATGATAGGCTGGAATTTAAATTTGGTCTGTTTGTTTTTCCCTTTTACTCATTCTAGGGAGGATAATGAAAATTGGACTTGTGTGTATTAATAGAATAGGGCGAGCGCTTTTAGAATGGTTTCAGAGGTCTAATAGAATTACAGAATTACAGACACTTCAGTTTTGTTTGTAAATAGCAAGAAGCAAAGCAGTGCAAGAAATAAAATATTATTTTGGAAAAGTTCAGATAAGTAAATTTTTCTTCCTCTTTCAAGCCTTGTTCCTCGTACCTCGGCTTCTAGTGGGGGAATTATGTCAGGAAATTTTAGTTGTGAAAGCTGTTATCTAGGGTTCTGTGGTGTTTTGTCTCAATGAAAATATGGAACTTAATGCTTGAAGGTGAGGAAGTAGGGAAAAATTACCATGCAAATTGCATAAATCATCTCGTGGATATCAAGCCTTCATTACATTATGCTACCTTGGTCTTAAATACATGACTTTTTAGTGGTCTTCTGACCAAATGGGAAGTACAAGTGTATATTCTAGAAGAGTATGTGTTGCATTAAGAACATCACAGACTATTGTCATGTAAGGTCATATTACGTACTAAAGAGAGAAGAAAGAAGACACTAAGGAGAGGGGTTTTTTGCAAGACCTGTTCTTTGTAATTCTCCATCCTGAAGATGACCATGAAATACTGGCATAGATTGGAAAAAAATGGAAGGAGAGAAATAGGAAGGCAGTGGTAGAAGGAGAATATCTTGAAACAGAAGACTAAGAGAAACAAGTTCCATATTTTCTGGTATCACACAACTGGCATTCTTTATGGGTTGACTGGCTTATTAGAGATCTTTCTGTCTGTGAGTACCTTTTTAATAGGCTTTAACAAGCAGATGAGGCGGGTGAAACCGTACTGTCACATGACAATTGGTATGGTTTGATTGCATTGGACACATTTAAAATTTTGGAAAGTATACAAACACTAAAGCTGGGTGTAGTTGCTAAATCATAATTTAGAGGAGATACTGTAGGTACTTCAATCTGACCTGAATTTGCAGTATCCCCAGCCACTTTTTTTTTTTTTCCTGGAGATTAATGCACCTGAATGGAGCTTTTGTCAAAGAACAGTGGCATGTCTAATACAGACATTCAAGAAAGGAAGTGGAAAATAGTTCTGGCAGGGAGAGGCTTTTCTGAAAGGATGGAGTTGGATCTAGATAACGTTGTAATAACAGGAGGCTTTGGCTTGTGTATTTCTACTAGCAGAGACCTACACAAAAAATTTGACATAGTTGAACACGACTCAAGCTCTGAGACTACGAGTATTATTTAGAGGGGGATTTCAGGGCATGTTATCATTATGAAAAAGTTTTCACTGTTTAGTGGTTAGTTAGGCAAATCAACTGACATAAGTATAATCCAGATCTGAACTGAAGTCTAATAAACGTTCTGCCTTCAGGACTGGGAAAAATCTGAAAAGGGCATAGGAGACTCCCTGGAGAAGCTAAGATCATTCAAAAAAAAGCTTTCCCAGCCTTTGCCAGAACACCATGATGAGTTGCATGCAGAGCAGATTCGTTGCAAGGTAAAGCACTTGTTCTCTGACTGTTGTCTCATCTTTGCCTGCCTTTGTGCAGTAACCTCTTCCATTGTTAATAGGCTTCACGTTACTGACAGTGGAAACCAGTCAGCCATCCCTGTGACAAGAAACTATCCATGTAGCATTTGGACAGTATAATACCTGAGTGATCTCACTATAATGCAAATCCTGCAGGGTAAATACAGATCTGATCAAAGTGAGATCAGAACAGGGTCTGAAAAGTACTGTAGAAGCGCTAAATACTGGTGTGTTTTTGTTATAGAAATTCTAACTTTGGATTTAAACTCATTGTATCTAAACTGTTGGTTTAGTGCTTTTTATTTGAGATGAGATTACTGTGAGGGATCTTAGATAACACTTTTATGCTATATTCTTTGCAGTTTAGAAATAGATTACAACTTGAAAATGTTTTCAATCCAGAGAAGTCCAAACCAATACTTGGAATTCTCAAATATCTTTGAACTTTAGAGAGATTTGAGTAGTAGAGTAGTTTGTGACTACTTGTTATAAGGCTGACATATCATTCTTTATTGGGGAGTTACCTCTCTCATAACTGAAAATATTGGTACGTATGGGGTTGGTGTTTTCTTTTTCTTTTAAACGGGGCTGAAACCATCCGCTTGAAATGGTGGGTCTGCTCAGATAGGACTTCAATTCAGTGGGTAACAATGCTTGCCTTTCTGCTTCATCAACACATTCAAATTTTTACTTGTTAGCAAACTGGTCCTTTTTCTTTGTGCACTTCTTTTAAGGAGTTAGAGAATGCTGTTGAAGGATGGACAGATGACCTTGCACACCTCTCTCTGCTGAAGGAGACCCTGTCTATGTATATCAGCGCAGATGATATCTCAATCCTCAGTGAGCGCATAGAGCTTCTGCACAGACAGTGGGAGGAGCTGTGCCACCAGGCAAGTATAGTACTGAGCACTGATATGAGTATGCAGGCTGCAAGTGTTGGGAGAAAAATTGAATGCGAGTGGCAGCTTTTAGAAAAGATGCATGTAGGCACACTCAGATTCAAAACTGAACTCTTGCTAAATCAGGGAAAACGTGCGTTGAAATGCTTCTTTTAGTTACTGCTAGTGTTTCTAGATCTCTTGAACTTTGTCATGGCTGTGAGGTCATATTTAAGCAGCCTTGAAAAACCAACAAAAAAGTCACACTGTTTGCTGTGGGACTGTGGCTTGACTGGCTGGGGAAAACACAGAAGTAACACAGTTTACTATGCTTTGGTGGAGGAGCTGTGCTCAGAAAGGATGTCTCCTCCCCGCTCAACATTACTGTATTGTACCTTCAGTTCTGCTGATAGCTTCTGCTTCTTCAGACATTGGTGTCTGCATTTCTCTTAGTCTGAAGGTGACTTGCTTGGCAGCAAAATGAGCTGAGGAGTACTGTTTGATTTTTTTCAGGTGCGTCACGCTATTAGTGTTTTTCTTGCCTCCATTTTGCACTTAGAAATCCAGGTAGTGGAGTCTCCCTCACCCAGCTTTTCATATTATCCTAATGTTATTTCATAATGTGGTTCAGTAGAGATTGCAATCCAGACATTCCCAGGGCTAACTTTGAAATAGTTACCTCACGTAAGGTACCTGTGAAGGCTTCAAAAACACCCCCAAAGTAGGAAAAATGCTTCACAGTTAACAGCACAGAACTCGTTGTGAGTTAGTTGCTTTTGAATGAGCCAATGTAGATAAATCTGAACTACGGTGTAGTTGGTACATGTATGTTTATGGTAAAGGAGGGAGCCAAGTAAAGAAGTTTTATCTTAGTTTTGTGCGTACTGAATGTTTCAGGATGTAACCTAGTGCAACACTTTGTTCAACTGTTACTTATTTCCGGAAAGCTGCCATCAAGTTTAGAACCACAAAAAGGAAACGCGAGATCATGTGTATGCCCCTGTTAAACCTAACATGGTAGTTAAAGAACACATCACTTTTGTTTATGAAAGAGCAGATGCAGTCTTCATCTTCTCAGCTGAAATGCTGATATAAAGTCAGAAACAACGCAGATTACAATGGGGAGGAAGTAAGTAGTTGTACAAATGTCTGAAACTGGAGAGATGACTTTGCTTACCCTCTGCTGCTATTTTGATTTCAGTGTCCATCTTTGTCTGTCTATTACTATTCATAGTCTGAGATGGTACCACTGCTATAGCAATTTCTTAAACATAGCAGTGCTTTCCTTCCTCCTGTATTAACTACAGCATTTGCCTGTTTGATGTTTTATGCCTGTTCTTTCCTGTCAGGGTACACCTCAGTCCTTTGGAATCTCTCAAGGTGTCATGCCCATTCAGGAAAAATAGTCATCTATGAAATGAGTGTATTTGGACTCAAGTAGAAAATTGCTTGTGTAAAATATAGTGTATCTTTGATTTAACTTTGTACTTACAAATCATGCTCATGCACAAATTACACAATCTTTTGGAGTTTGGCCTATGCTATGTATATTTCTATTTTTTTGCTTTGGTCAAGCATTTCTATCTTTTTTATTTAATCTCTTAGACTAAAAAGAAACCATTAATACACTTAACATTTATAACATTTTATAAGTGAGCAAAAATTGTAAGAAAATTTATTTTTTATCACCTAATGAAACCTTTGGGTTAGAGACATTATAAAACAAGATATTAAGCTACTGAGCATAACGCTTGGATGCCTCTCTCTATGCATAGGATGTAGCTAACAGGAAACCTGAGGTTAACATTTACCTCTAAACTCACAGAGTCACGCAAAGTTTTTGCAGTACAACTCCAGTTTGTTTTAATGGCCAGTAAGTGGCTGGAACACTTTTGCAGGGCCACAGGAGTTCACATTGAGGCAGAAAGTGTTTCAAGCATCACTTAAATGCATTTACTATTTTGTTTTTATTTATACTCCGCAAATGTTTTAAGGTCTCCTTACGTCGACAACAAGTTAGTGAGAGACTGAATGAGTGGGCTGTCTTCAGTGAGAAGAACAAGGAGCTCTGTGAGTGGCTGACACAAATGGAAAGTAAGGTTTCTCAAAATGGCGACATCCTTATAGAAGAAATGATTGAGAAACTTAAAAAGGTATAGTGAAGTGCATGTACACTTACATACTGTTCTTTAACTGCTTACTTGTTTTGTGTTGCAAAGAGGATACTGAATTAGCTGAAATGGAGGTTTTACCTTACACTGATATTTATAATTTTCAGTAAGACTGTGTGTTTGTGGTGTTCTCTCGCTATGCAGCATTTTTCCTGTCTTTCTTGAGGTGGGACCTCCCAGGATACCAGAAAATTAAGTGAACGGAAAGTCAAAGGCATCTGAATGCTTTACTAAATGTCCAATCAGAATTGCCTGTAATGAGTTTAACTGTAGCAGATATATTTATAGAAGGCATTGTGTTTTGTTTTGGGTTTTTTTTCATTCTTCTGATAAAGTTGTTCTTGGTTATACATTTAATATTTAGGAGGTTGTCTCTCCGCTGTACCAATCACCAAAAAACCAGCGTTCACTGGTATTTTTGTATGGTTCCTTTGGTAGTGTAGAGCAGGGTGTATTCAGAGTAAGTACCCTGACTTCTGATTGCTCTTTACTGTCCAGGATTATCAAGAGGAAATTGCTGTAGCCCAGAAGAACAAAATCCAGCTACAGCAAATGGGAGAGCGACTTGCTAAAGCCAGCCACGAGAGTAAGGCATCAGAGATTGAGTACAAACTTGGGAAGATCAATGACAGGTGGCAACATCTTCTAGATCTTATTGCAGCCAGGTAAAACAGTTGTTTTGTTTCTAAGTGCTATGTGGGACAGATTAATAAGCTGGATGCCATGAATTTAAAATCTTTTTATTGTCTGCCTTTTCATCATTAACTGTGAAATGAGTTTATTCTTAACCATCAACACATTTCGGTGAAATTCACCTTCCTGTTTTACTTTACAGTACCTGACATCATTTCTTCAAGAAAAGTCAATTCAAAACTTCATCTGCTAGAATGACATAGGATTGGTTGCAGTCAGATTTAGTGAACCTTGCTCCAGTACCATCTTACTTCAGATGAGTGCTTAAAACTGGGTGCAAATGTAGTTTTCAGAGGAATTGAAACAGTGCTTTTGTAGTTTTGGATTTCGAGAAGAGTGGTTCCAAAACTAAGTCTTAGTTTTTCTGCCTGATTATTTTTTCACTGATGGAGAAGAGTAACTGCAGGTAGACGCATGCACATTGGGCTTAACAGTTCTTTTTACTCAAGGTCACAAATATAACAGCAATTTTCATAACAATCCTGTATTTCTTTAAGTTGTTTGATAGGTGAAGAAACTGGTTTATTTGTTTCAATACTTTCTGTTGAGTCATGCTACAGCTTCCCTCCCATTACTGACAATAATTTTGTCACAATTTTGCACTTCATAAAATGTCCATATACTTTATATATTACACTTCTGTGATGTAAGGATATATGAATTAGTAATACTTTAGTCCTGTTAGCAGCAAAAGGGTTTGTTTAGTTTCGTCGTCTTTTTTCATCCTGTTCTTTTTTCATATAGTTTTACTGCATTCCTGCTCTGAAATCTGTAAGCATAGGAGCAGTAAATTTTATGTAAGCAGAAGCATTCTGGTGGCTCCAGCTCCTTTTATAGTGGTTCATTTTAAAGTAATGAACACTGTATATTTCTTACAGAACAATTAAGCCAGGAAGTGGTGCATTACGGTCGAGGAGCCTGCTGGTTTCAGAGGATGTGATACATCACCAATTGTTGAACATAAAGTATATTTGCTGTATTTTTGTGTTTGTCTTTTGAAACACCTACTCAGACAAATGTTCAAATAATACCTTCAGGAAGTTTCTAGTGAAAAGTGATTGCATTCAGAAACTGTAAAACGCATCTTTAAAAGATCTGTATTGTTGATTCAGTATTAGAGGTTAGTGTCCTCTACAGGGACAGGTCAGGGTTCAGGATTCTGTATCATCCTTGGGGTGGGGAGATATAAACTGAAATATTATACACTTAAAATTTCTCATTCTGTTATCGTAAAGCAGGGTGTCAAGTCCTAGTTCTAAACTAATTTATGTAAAATATTTATTTATTTTTATTTCCAGATCATTTCAACTTAGCCTTCTCAACTAGCGTGCTCAGCACTATCATATGCATATGCAATTGTCGTGGTTTAATTTCAGTCGGCAACTAAGCACCACGCAGCCGCTCGCTCACTCCCCCCTACCCGGTGGGATGGGGGAGAGAATTGGAAGAGCACAAGTGAGAAAAACTCATGGGTTGAGATAAAAACAGTTTAATAATTGAAATAAAATTATAATAATAATAATATGATAATAATAATAATATGATAATAATAATAATATGATAATAATAATAATATGATAATAATAATAATATGATAATAATAATAATACACAAAGCAAGTGATGCACAGTGCAATTGCTCACCACCCGCCGACCGATGCCCAGCCAGTCCCCGAGCAGCGGCCCCCCCGGCCAGCTTTCCCCAGTTTATGTACTGAGCATGACGTCACATGGTATGGAATGTCCCTTGGGCCAGTTTGGCTGTGCCCCCTCCCAGCTTCTTGTGCACCTCCAGCCTTCTCAGTCGGTAGAGCATGGGAAGCTGAAAAGTCCTTGGCTGGTGTAAGCATTACCTAGCAACAACTAAAACATGGGTGCGTTATCAACTTTGTTCTCATCCTAAATCCAAAACACTGTACCAGCTACTAGAAAAGAAATTAACTCTATCCCTGCCGAAACCAGGACAGCAATTAAACATATAACCCTTTCCACTGAAGTGCTTACTGAAGTGAAGGAAACTCTGCAAAGTTTGAACATTGCATTGCTGAAGTTGGGAAGTAAATGGTGGAGAGGTTTGATGCTAGGTTGTGGAAATTTTGTAAGTTCAGCTGTAGCTTAGGCTGATAGCAGTTAAAGCCCAAGTTGTTGATTAATGTATGTACAAAGTATTTGTACTGATGTCTAATTTCCACTGGACAAAAGGGTTTGCATCCCCCAAGATAATTTTTAGAAGGCTCCAGAGGCTCTTCAGAATATGTTGTTAAATATTGGGGTGTGTTCCTGTTACGATATTTTGGAGTTTGGAATGTATCATATAACATGATTTTGGCTGCGCTCAGCTAGTAAATGCAGATTAATTGTTCTGGTGTTGAGAATGAAACACATCTTTTCATATTCTGGATCCCTGAGAGCATTAATAAATTATTAGAGACTGTGTGCTTTTCTGCAAAGCTACAGTCATCCCTCGCCTGGAGCATTTTTCTTAGTGCTTTGTTTCCTACAGCTGTGAAAGAATTGAAAGTGCTCTATGAAAATGCTTCAGTAATACAGTATGGTAATATGTGTCCAGGCTGAATCTTTACCTGTTGATTTTATGCTGTGTGGTGGAACTTCTCCATTCACCTGTAAAAGCCTCTGCCTGTCTTTCTGTCTGTCTGTCTGTCTTTCTCACATTCTGTTTCCTTACCCATTTTTTTTAATTGCTTCTCCATTCTGAGGAGGTCTGTAACTGCAGAAGAGACAGCTACAGTAAGGTAGCTGTGTGTCTGCATCAGAGATCTCTGTTTCTGTCTTTCTAGAACATTTTCATCCTTTCAGATGAATTTTTCTGATGTGTCAGCCCGGTGCAAAAAATGTTACAGATGTTTACAGCCAGGAAGCAGTGCTATTGCTGCAACTGCTCGGGCTTTGCAAAGAAGGCTTTGTTGTATGTGTTTTCATCCCTTCCCCTAGCACTCACGGTCCACATTCCTGGAGATCAAGTCTGGCACATGTTGATGAATGCAGGTTTTATTTAGAAACATGACCACTTGTCACCATTCAGTCTCATGTTATCAAGCAACGGCTGCTAACATTTGTTTGGCGTGCAATATTTTCTGTACAGTACTCGCCAGCAAAGAGAAGTGTGTCCCCCTTTCCTCCCCCCGCCCAAAGCACAGTGTTTGCAGGCTTTTGGAGTGGAAGTTCTTCTTTTTAATGCTGGAAAATTTCATGGTGGTGGCAGAGGACTTGCATGCTGTGAGGATGGCAGAGGACGGCAGTGTGGATTCAGATCTCCCAGACTGTAATTGTGATATCACAAGGCAGGCAGCTATTTTTGTTTGCTTTTGATTGATATGATTCTTTCTGAAGTCTTGGCTTGCTGGGAAAACAATTGAAATATTGATATGTAGAAATCACTACCTTAGCTAGAAATTACTGTTTTCTGCTCAGTTTAAAATAGTTGACAGTGATAACAGCATACTTTGTTTTACAGCTAATACTTTTGGATCACAGAATAATTTTTTGTTACTGATGCAGACTTAGAACTAGTAAAATCTCTTAGCTGTCTAAAAGAAACTGTAGACTGGTTTTACTGCTGTTTTTTAAATACAAGAGCATGTACACACATGTGAGAAAGCAGACTTTGTATTTGTCTGCTCAGTGTTTGTGTCATCAAAGGGGCATGGCTACAAGTGAAAGGCAGAGAAGGAGAGGCTGTAAAGAAAGTATTTCAGACTTATCAAAGCTGGTCTGTCCTGTACATATTAATTACTGGTTTGTAACTGCATGTAGTACTTGAACTCAGCCTACATCATCTTGGATTTTTGATTCAGCGTCTCTTTTTCCCTCTTCACGTTATCTTTTCTAGAAGTTTTGCTGCTGTTGTTCAGAGTTCTAGAAATTTACTCTTTGAAAGGGGAAACTGTGGTCTGAAGAGCAAATATAACTGGCGGTACTAGGGTCCTGGTACGCAGTAGTACTGTACTTTGGACAATAAATCTTTTTTAATGATAAAAAGATTATTTTTAAACTGATTTTTTAAAAACTGATTTTAATAGTGTAATATTTTTCACTGTTTCATAGAGTAAGTGTTTCTTGAAACTTTGTCTCCAGTTCCAAGTAGATTTTTTTTTTAACTTTTCTGCTTTCTACTGGCTTTGTACAGACTTAGCTAACATGCTCTTACTGACTTTTTTCATGTTGCTTTTAAAGTTTAATATTAGTAACCAGCTGTCTAAATGACTAACACAGTAGCTATGAGTATTATATGATGCATTGTTATGTATTTACAGGGTTGTTCCTGTTTAGGTTTAAGTGGAATCGAAGGCTGTTTAATTTAGGACTAGTTGAATTAAAGGTATTTGTGCTTAATTTCAGCTCCAAGTTGTTCTCCCACTGCCTTTTCTTAGTGTAAAATAGACATTTTAAAGTTATTACTTTCTTGGGGAAACTGAGGTACAGTAATTGGAACATGGAAACGTAAGCACCGTAAGCCCATTCAAATTTTCAGATGAGTTTTTGTCACTAAACCATAAAAACAAACAGTTGAATTCTGCAGTATTTTCCTTTCTGAGAGTCTTAAGTATTTGTGAAACGTAACAAGACTGGTGTGTGTGTGTGTGTTATATAAAAAAACCAGCCTTTAAAACCACCGTGTCATGGGTCCAACCCTTTTACTTCAATGTGGAATCCTCATTATCAAGGAGAGGAGTTATCTCAAGTCTCTTGCAGTAACAGGCATAGCGCTGCAACAAAAGCATGAGATGATTATTTGGAATAATTAACTGTTTAAACATAATCTTGTAAATGAAGTCTCAAAGGGTCAAAATTATAGTTGGCTAGGGATCCCACATACTTGAATAGTTTACAATTTGATCTTTGTCTCTAAGCAGAGGTTTTAGTTTCATTAGCTTTCAGGCCCTGCCATTAGCATGGAAAGATAGGATTTTGAGCTGTTACATTTTTAAAAGAGAGATATTTTTGTTGCACACACATTATGTAATTATTTGTACACAGGCACAGTATTCAGTGAGATGAAGAGCATAAGCATCTTGCCTGCTAAAATTCAGAAGGAAAACTGTTAGACATGATGGATTACATCTATTATTTGTTTGTGGATATGTTTTCAGAGTAGCTAGAGGCACAACACTGTATTGTAGTTCAGTCAAAAAAAGTAAGCCCAGCATACTCCAAGAAGCACTTGTTTATTTGCTTCTATTTGTACCATGGGCAAGGAACCTGTCATGTTAGACTCAGTACAAAAAAAGAACAGTGTTAACAGTAAATGTAGCGGGGGCAAGAAGGGAGTTGTCCTTTTTTTTTTTTTTTTAACTTCTGGAATTTAGGTGCAGGGAATTGTAACAGTCTGGCAGGAGGGCTGGTTTAGCAGTAGGTTTTGGTTTTGGTTGGAGTGTTCTTTTAGTATGTGGCCCTTCTTTTACTTTTTTTCTCTTGAGTAACTTAAGTCCTGTGACTGAAAATAGCTCTATTTGGGCCAGGGTTGTTTTTTGCTCTGGCAGGTGTGTATTCCCATGCAGTCTGCTTAAGGCAAAAAGGGCATTTTCTAAATGACGGGCCCTTTATCAGGTATTGCAGGCAAAATGTAAATAAAATCTGGCACAGAGGTTAGGGCACTATACAATTGCAAACAAGAAAAGCCTGGTCCACCGCTTGGGCTTGCAAATGATAGAGTGACATTGCTTCTACACAGGGCTGACATGACTCATTGCTCCCATTCCCACTCCAGCATGCCTGCAAAGGATCAGCGGCACCCAGCCTTGAAAATCTAAGCAGAAAATGGGCAGGATTTCGCTCCTGCAAAATGTCAGAAACTGAAAAGCTGTATGTGAGTTCCAGAAGAGTGATAACGAACTTTCTTGCTCACCTTAAGAGCAAGTTTCAATTGGTCCAAACCCACAAACCATTGTATGTATTACCATAGGTGGCGAGGAGATGGTGCCCCCAGACATTGGTTGTTCTAGTATCTCTCCAAGGCTAAATACATAGCTGTGTTTCAGGATAACCTGATGATGGGGACTGGGACAGTCTTTCAGCACAATTGTGTTGACTTCAGTCCCTTCATAGCCAGATTTTCAGATTACCTAGTTTTTTTCCAATTACTAAGAGTTTTTTTCAGATCACAACCCTGCAGCTGTTGGTCATGAGACTTTGGCAAGGAAGATGCATTCGAACTGTTCTTAAGCGTGTTTGGTGCTAAAGAGCCACAGTTTGACCATCTGTGATCTAAAGAGAGGGCTAGAAAGAGGCAAAAATTTGAAAGATTTAACTTTTAAGTTTTTAAGTTGACATTAAGACCCCTGCATTTCTTTTTGGTAAGAAAAGGACACCCATATTATACTCTTAATGGTCAGCTGCAACTACTGCTTTAAATATGGAAACACTTGATAAATTTGCTGGTTAGTATTACAGAAAAAATGTGAATTGCTCTGTTTGAATTATAGGATAGTCAGGTGGCATTTTGTTTGTCTGACGAATCTGGCAATCTTGTATTTTTCAACCCAATTTAGTCAGGCTATTCCCAGCTGCACTCGCCTCTTAAAGCTTTCTGATACTGAAACACTTATGTGGAAGAGCAATAGAAGCATAAAGGGGAATGTTACTCAAAATTGTTTGTGGTACTACATAAACTGAAAAAAAAAAGCTTAGAAACAATTTCAGAATCTACTAATGTATGTTATGTAACATGGTGATAGGAAGGAGAGAATTACTAACAAGACTTTTTTGCAGTTGAAACAGGCTGAAGGAAAAAATATCAAGATAGGATGAAGGTTTAGTCAAATTTTCCTCACTCTCTAAGCTTAATGTTGCCTTGAATAAAAAACCCCACTGTTTAATTTTTCCTGGCCATTGCTGTTGCAGGGTCAGGGTCTCAAGAAAAATACTACTTGGAAATTGCCATGCAGTTACATTCCAATTTCATCTGTTTAAATCTGAAGTAGTCCATTAAGACCAAGAACAACTTAAAGCAGCCCTTGGGATTCAGGAATTCTCACTGAGTTCTCAGCTGGATTTCTCTCTCTAAAACTTACTTATTCAAGAACAAGTCTTCACACTGGAACAGGTTGCCCAGAGAGGTGGTAGATGCCCCATCCCTGGAAACATTCAAGGTCAAGTTGGATGGGGCTCTGAGCAACCTGATCTAGTTGAAGATGTCCCTGCCCATGGCAGGGGGGTTGGACTAGATGATCTTTAAAGGTCCCTTCCAACCCAAACCATTCTGTGATATGTAGTTCAATGTTTAGAAATCACCGGGGTGAAAAAGGCCTGTTCGCTCAGTGCACTCCACCACCAGTACTGGTTAAATGGATAAGTTATTTGTAGTCTAAGAAGAACTTTTGTCATCTGTTGGTCAAATACACAACTAAATTACTTAGATTGTTTTGGGCTTTTGGTGTGTGTGAGTTCATTAAAAAAAAAAAAAAAAAAAAGGTTTCCTTTCTTAACAAACATTTAACTCAACTGATAAAGGTACAGAAACTTTGAAAATGTTGTCTGGCATTAGTAAGCTCTTAGTTTTTCTTAACCAGAACCTATGAATGCAGGACTATTTGCACATATAATATACTTCTGTTACATAACAAAGGAAGACTTCAGAACAGAACTTGCCATCTAAGTTGAGTTTCTCTGAAAACTTCCTGAAACACATGCTGTGGAAGTTCTCCTTCAGGGTGTACTTATGCTGCCTTTTCTTTTTCTTTACAGGGTAAAGAAGTTGAAGGAGACCCTCGTTGCAGTGCAGCAGCTGGATAAAAACATGAGTAGCCTGAGATCTTGGCTTGCCCACATTGAGTCAGAACTGTCCAAACCTATCGTCTATGAAACTTGTGACTCTGAGGAGATACAAAGGAAGCTAAATGAACAGCAGGTAAAATACAACACGCTTATCAGGTACACGATGACATGGGGAGAATCAAAGTAGAGTGTCCTTGAGCTGCCCATACCCAGCTCGACGCTGAGAGGGCATGAGGCAAAGAAGTGTTTAAATATCAAGGCAAGTGGTACTTACTGTGTCACTTATAGAGCCTTCTGCTGGCTTTGACATCGAATACACCAGGAGCTGATTGACCTTTCCGAGAAAGGTAAGGCACCAAGAGATGTAACCTGAACCAGTTATTGCAATTGTTTTTCCTTTGGGGTTTGTGGGTTTTGTTTGTTTGTATTGTCTGTTCCCAGAGGCAAAACTGACACCTATTAGACCTTGCAAATTTTGCACATGCTTGAAAATGACTATTTTTTATCAACCGTTCTAACTCAGTTTAATTTTGCAGCTTGTTTGAGAATCACTTTGCACGCAAAGATGCATGAGCTATACATGTGAAGTTAAAATTGGTTGGTTTATAGCACACAAAGCCTTTATGCAGTGCTAGAACAAAATAGTCAACACTGGAATGGGCAGAAAAATGTCGAATCAACCAGTTTTTGGCATTAAAACTAAAGTTAGTCCTAAGAAGATTCACTATACTTTCTCTCTCCTGTTCCACTTCACTGCCCAGTGCAGTTTTACCTAGAAGCACATTGCTGGGGAGGACTGTTGTTCTGTGGTGTTCCTCTTGGTTATTTATTGGCAAAAATACCTTTCTGGTTCCTCACTGCAGATGAGTTAGATGCTCTCCTGAGTTCTTTCTCCAGAGGAGAAAGAAATGCGTGGGAAGAGGAGTGCCAGAATGTTTTGGGGATAATTAATTTATGAAGTGTACAAACTGGCATTTTGCTCTTTTAAGCTGAGTGTGGGACTGAGACCCAAGAAACCCCCTCAGAGTTTTTGCCATCTCCCCAACTGATTTGCTACATGGCTGTGCAAAATTGCTTATTACTATTCTAGATGTAATTTACATAGGGATGATAATTTATAATACACAAACATCACTAATGAGTGGTGTTTCTGAGACAATAAAGTGCTGGGCAGGGCTAAACATTGCTATCAACAAAGTAGATGCTTGAGATTTTTTACTAGCATCCCTATGCAGGCATCCCACAGTTTGTTACAACCACTTCTTATGGGACTTATTCTGGGCACAGAGACCGGTGTATCCCTGCCTTCTGCTGTTTCCTTGTGGTGATCCCCACGTAGTGACAGCATGCAGTAATATTCTGTAGAAGTGTGAGTGGTTTAATTTGAACTCCAAAGGGGAGAAATAGAGGTGAATCTTATCCTGGGAGGATGCCATGTTTGGAAACTTGATGATGATTTGATTTGATAACACTGGAAGCTATGGTTATAATAATAATTCAAAAAACCCAACCACCTTCAATGTATGGCAACCAGTATTTTTATTAGTTGGAGGCTATATCAGTATCCACTGCATCTCAGAAGGCCAGTATGTTGGCCATCTTCTCAAGTATTTCATCCCTCTTTCTTCTTCCGTTAGTGATCTTATGTTTTTTTCCATGTTTGATCTTCCACTGAGGTCATGTTATCTTCCCTGCTCATACTGCTACCAGTTGTTCATATACAAAATTACGTTAAAAATATTATGCTGTGGAAGAGGAGGGCCAAATTCCATTTCTGTAATTCCATTATCTACTTCTCAGCATCTACTTCAGCCAAGAATCAGCTTTGCAGATTGCTGGTCTCTGTAGTGAAATTAAAAATACAATCGAAGCTGGATATCCCGGGGAAGGTAGGGTAACTTCACTGCAGTGTTTTCCTAGGGTCGCAAACTGCATTTCAAGGATTACTTGTTTACTTTCTCAATCTGCTACCACTTGAAATGTGGAAAAAATGGTATTTGCTTTTGGGTTGATAAAGGAAAAAAAGCTGTATGTGGGTGACAGCAGTGCATAAAAGTGATGCTCCTTTGCGAACTAACCCAAAGGCTAAATGCTCTCTAATAAACATAGAAAATTTTAAAATCTGGGAAAGAAATACAAGGCTATGGAGAAAAATCAGTATAGACATCGCTTGGAGAAAGGTTCTGTAGGTGAATAAAGAAGTTTAATCTTTAGGAATCCTCATGACCACCAACCAGCAGTTCTCACTACTGCTCTACTCCAAAACAGCAGAGAGGAGATTGTGTTACCTGAACTTGCTTAACCTCAAGTCTCATAGCTGTCTGGAGTATGTGTTTCATACAGTATTGCATCTGTTTATAGTATCCACCCCTATATAACATTTCAGGCTGGGTAGAAAGAAGAATAAGCACTTGGACATCACGATGAAAGAGTATTTTCCAGGCAAGTGAAAGTGAAAGGGCCAGTGCTGAGGAAGAAGACATTGTGATTTTCCACTTGATGGACTCATGTAGATGTTCACAAAATAGCCTTCTGTTTCATAGATGAGAAGAGGAAATAGATTACTTCATTGAGTCCAACCCCAGTTATCACAAACAACCAAATCAAATGCTTGATACAAGTTGACCTTGCTCCATTTCAAATTTGCTGAGGTTTTTAGATTCTATGTTTAGATCTCATTTCCTGCTGGAAGGCATTTTCAGAACATCATATGGCTATTTGTAAGAAAAGTTCCTCTAGTTAGACCTTAAATGTATGTAGACACAGTATGTTGACACTATATTTCCCTTTGCATATTATAGTTTACTTCACTAGCAAAATTATAAAGAGCAGTTTATCTCTACTCATCCTCAAGCTGCCAAGTTCTTGCTCTCCTAAATAAACTTCCACATCTCTAATTGTCCTAATAGTTCTTTTCTTCATCTGAATCAGAAGTGAACATAGTATTCTAGATGCAATATATCACTTTTTGCTATAGTCACTTAGTACTTCTTTGTCACTATTGGAATTATGTTCTCTTGGCTTTGTTACTGTCCATCATGATTTTTCCATCTAATATCCTGATGATTCATTGCAAATGTAGGCAGAAGTCAAGCAGGATTTCTTTTCCTTGCACTGATCCAACAACAGTAACCAGTTACTTTGTGGCTTGTCTTAACTTGAACCTGTAGTTCAAAACTGAAGCTGAAACACTGCTTCGAGATGAAACATTATCATTAGTGCAGAACAAGCCATTGCAACCAAGAAACCGACAGGAGAAATAATACTGATCACATATAATAAGTGCTAAGACAGTGTAAGTGCATTTTCTTTAGCTGTCCTGAATTTTCCTTTTCCATTCCCAATGAAAATGCTATAGAATTGGAAAGTTGAGGGAAGAAAAATCTCCTACCAGAGATGCACTGTTCAACATGTGCTGCTGCTGATCTCCATGTCAAACATGCCACTTTGCAGCTAGCTTACCTGGGGAAGAGTAGGTTCACGAAGGGTACCTCCACCAAACCCTCGCAGTAGATAAGAACATATTTTCTTGTCACACTTCTCTTACTAACTTGTGCTTTACATTCTCTGTGATAATGGGAAAGGGCTGGGAATAATTCCACCGTTTATTGGTGATGTTGATTAAATGTATGTGAAAGAAGTTCAGCTGAGCATGCAGAGCTCTGGCAGTTTGTCCCAGGTGATGGTTTGGTGTTCATAGTCCCTGGGAGAGCTGTGCATGCTACCAGGTTCTCCTGGCCTCATTGATAACATTGCAACACTACTTGCGCAGATGCAGTCTCTTAATAGGTACTCATTGGATGTTTTTCTCCTGTTTGCAAGCTTATTAATTTTTTTTTTAATAGGTAGAAGAGAAATGCATTTGTATTTATGCATGTTTTGCAATTTCTCTTAAGAATTAATTTCTTCACCTGCAGGAACTTCAGAGGGACATAGAGAAACACAGCACTGGAGTGGCATCTGTTCTCAATCTGTGTGAAGTGCTTCTTCATGACTGTGATGCTTGTGCCACAGAAGCGGAGTGTGACTCTATCCAGCAGGCTACACGCAATCTGGACAGAAGATGGAGGAATATTTGTGCAATGTCAATGGAAAGGCGACTTAAGTAAGTCTAAAATGCCTAGAAATTAGTATTTCCTTCCACAGGCACAAATAGAGGATGGGAGGTATGTTATAGGGTTGCAGTACTGAAGAAAAGGGTGTAGGGGTCAGAAAAAGATCATACACTGAATAAAAGCCAATAGCTGTTATGCTGTGGGGAAAAGAAAGAAATTTTCGGGTTGCCTTTGTATGTGCCTTTATACAAGGTACAGATATCAATTATAAAATTTTGCTCACAAGGCCTTTGATGGAATGATATCTTATTTCCCATGCTTCATAGAAATGATGAGAGAGAAACTAGAGAAAGCTTAGATGATAGCAGTGACTCCAAGAGATTTAGAAAACATGACCTAAAAGGGAGAGTTGTAACACTTGTTTACCCTAGAACTACTGAGACTGATGGGGAAACTAGTTATCGAATAGGTGGAATGTTATTCCAGGTGTTAGGGTTTTCATGCACCTAATGTTCCTCAACAGTTTCTCTTATGTCTGATTTTGTTTATTTGGAAGAATTTTAGGACTGAACACTCATCTAGAATTTCCTCATCTGCCCACTGTAGCTTTGCTGAGCAAGTGTGGGCCGCAGCGCCCGTGCATCTTGGGCGTGATCTGATTTACTGCACATGCTTAGACCATCTGTACACTGCATGCCCATGATATTCAGAAGATTCATTGTTTTCTATCCCCATCTAGGATAGCATGGGTGATTTTGATAGCCGTAATGATGTAGGCTAGATTGGGCCAATGCTATATACTCTGTGCTGACCACTAATCATACATGTTTCACTGTTTGAACTCCTGTATTTATGAAGATCTTTTCTGTACCTTTTTAAGTTATGAATCTGATTTCTGTGATGTTTACACAGTCATATCAAGAACTCCAGGTAAAGTTTATGACTTTTCAAAATGCTGAATTCAACTTTATATGATCTTTGGTTTTGTGGGATATTCCTAATGTATTTAGTAAAGGTGTTCTTTATTTTATGCAAAAAAATTGTTGCTTTTAAGTTGTGCGGCTCTATATCCACAGATTGCTATCTTCAAGTAATTTTATACTATTGCCATGGTAATTCTTGTATAGTGTGATGGTAATTCTTGTATAGTGTGTGTGTATATATATATAAATACAGCTTATAAGTATTATCTTTGACACAGTCTGTCTTGAAAATATACAGGCTCTTCATAGCTTTGTGTCCAGCAAATTAATTCAGAACTATTTTAAGTTAATGTGGAACAATGCATTGAACTCTATTTTACTTTCTTGCAATGTACACATTATGCTATTAGTAGATTTGTACCAGTAAGTTAACTGAGCTATCAGTATTTAGGATCTTTATTGTACTAGAAACAGTTATTCATATTAAAAAGCAACTTTCCAGATGTCAAACTTCAGGTTAAACAACATATCATTAACAAAGGATAAATTTTGCATGGATCAGGTCCTTTTCAGACCTGCATATCTAAGATTTGGGAAAGATATATTCTGTATGTAAAAAGCGATAAAGTTCTGCTGTAATACAACCTGTCCCAAAAAAGATCTTGTTTTTTTGAACCAACTGGTGTTGCAGTTCTTGGGATTTTACAGCCAATTTGATTTCAGGTTCAAGAGTCAGCCACTATTTTTACATACTCAATTTGAAGTCAAATTGGGTTTTTTTAAACATTGGGATAACTTTTAACATTTTTTTTTAAATAAAAATATGTTTACAGTGTATATTGAGAGATAGCATTTTACCAGTTGTTGGTGAATGGAAAAAAAAAAATGTTTGTGTCT